AGTGATGCTGTGATGCCGTGAGTGTCAGGTTTCGAGGTTGTCTCAAATAAATTGCATTTCAAACAAAGTCTTTGATAAAAACTCCCATTTATTGAGCACGACATTCTAAATCCGACTATATCGAAGTCAACACTGACTTCCAGACCCAAAACCCTCCCTTTCCGTACCCCACTCCCCTGCACTCATTGGCCATCTTCCAAGCCACTCTACCCCTAATCTACTGCTCCAGCTCAAAGGAATTTCCCCCCTCCCATCCCATCTCCTAGGGGATATTATCTCCAGGGAAAATAAGTAGGTGAAAAGTCAAACGTCCCTTTACAGACGCCTCCGCTTCTCCTTCTTATGTCAGCACTAGAGTAAATGCAGCTTGAAGTGCTGACAGTGAGTTTGAAACTCCTGATGTAGAGCTACCCTACAGTGCTGATTGGTTACTAATTGGAACATGACAGTTCGATTGCTGATGCTTAGCTACGAAGTTTGGAGATGAATGTTACATGGAATTATGAAGAATCACAACAGCCTTTTTCTTCTTTGGCTGGGACTTTGTCCAAGATGCATCAGTTTTGTGCAATGTGTTTTAGCTGCTGACCTGATTTCATTTGTCTGTGTGTCTACATGAATATGTGTACACAAACATACTCATATAAATACGGTACATACACATTAAATCTTGGAAAATCAACACAAACTGGGATATGGGAATAATTATTTTTCTTACAAGTCATACATCCTGGGGATCCTGTTCAAGGTCAAGTAGTAGCCATCCTCTGTAAGGACTTATATTCTTCTGCTAGATATCCCCAGAATTGAATTATCTCACTATATAAAGAATTGAATTATCTCACTATATAAAGAGAACCTTCTTCCATCACCTTCTTCCAAAGCAAAGCACAAAGTTGCTGGTGGTTGAAACCAAAGTTCATGAAACGTTCAACCTTAAAGGCTGATCTGTCCCCGTCCACACACACACACAAACACAGCCAGCCGAGGGTTAAGAAAGTACTTGGCACGCACACAGGTCGTTATCTCAAACTTGGCAGCAATATAATCACCGTCTGCCAAGAGCTTTTACAGCAACAGATAACATAACATTACATACGCATTGCAAATAGTCCAGCAAAACAATATTCCTTTCGGCAGCTTCAGACGTTGTTCAAATGACTAGCCAGAGTTAGTTTTTGTTCGTCACGGAGTTTTACCAGCCACCACCCTCTCTTACATAGTCTCTGGGGTGTGGTCCAGTGACTCAGTTCTAATCCCTAGCACACCTCCTTAATTGCTGCAACCGTTTATCACGCCTTCGTCGGCGTGCATCCAGGAATGACGGCTCTCCTTCGCTCTCATCCGAGACACCTGGCTCCTGGCTAATCTCCTCTCCCTCGGCCGGCACCTGAGACAGTGCCAGAGGGGAGGGGCCTGGAGAGGGAGGCCTGGCTGACTCCTCTTCCTCATGTTCAGAGCTTTCTTCCTCCGATGAGATAGGCTCAGAGGGCGGGGCCACAACAAAGACTTCCATATATGCACAAATATCAAAATCATTGTCACATAGTCAAAGCACATTAGCTACATATATGTTGGTATCAGCATAATAACAGGAACAAAGCCTTTCAGAAGTACATATGGACTTTAGGGGAAAAAATGCTAAATTTGATAATCATCATAATATGATGATTATGATAAATCATCATAATCATTTCTGATCCCATTCATGTGCCACTGCTGCCTAATTGTTGGGAAGAGGGTGAAAATCCTGAAAGGCAGTTAGAATACATTGTTAAAAAATGAGTATGCCTGAATCCCAAAATCCCACCTGTAACATTAAAGGCTGCTTTATCTGGGCTGCAAACATTCTGCAAACCACTAGATAAGAGGAAAAGGAGATCGACTTTTTCCATCTAAATGGATCTTCTTGCCATCTGCAGCCTGGATACAAAGGCCCTAGAAAAGGCTGTGGTTGTATATAAACATACGTAGGAGATTGGTATAAACACCTTTTGAGAGCTCAACTCCCTATATTCATGTGGGATTCGGGATTTATTTTTCAGCTGGTTTCTACTTCTTCTGACCTCACATTTTCATGGACATGAATCATAAGCAGCAATAGCCATTATTATTATTTTATTTATTTGTCAAGAACATATTTTTGTGGTTGTTAGTTGTGAAGTCGTGTCTGACTCATCGCGATCCCATGGGCAACGTTCCTCCAGGCCTTCCTGTCCTCTACCATCCACTGGAGTCTATTTAAGCTCACGCCGACTGCTTCAGTGACTCCATCCAGCCACCTCGTTCTCTGTCGTCCCGATCTTCTTTTGCCCTCAATCTTTCCCAGAATTAGGTTCTTCTCCAGTGAGTCCTTCCTTCTCATTAAGTGGCCAAAGTATTTGAGTTTCATCTTCAGGATCTGGCCTTCTAAAGAGCAGTCGGGGTTGATCTTCTCTAGGACTGACCAGTTTGATCGCCTTGCAGTCCAAGGGACTCGCAGGAGTCTTCTCCAGCACCATAGTTCAAAGGCCTCAATTCTTTGGCGCTCAGCCTTTCTTATGGTCCACAAAAACATATTAGGTAATATATATAAGTATAAGCATGAATTGAATACATAAAATAGATACAAATAGAGGAAAAATTAGGACATATCCTGGAGCACCTGAAATATTTAACTGAAAACAGTTAAATATTTTAGGGAAGAGATCCAGTTCAATTTGAAAAATGCACAACAGGGTTCAAAGAGTTGTATTCCACTGTAAGCACTGTAGCAACAACCAAGGGGAAAAAAGCATTTGGACGAACTATAATGTATTTAAAGGTAAAATAGTCAATATATTCTACTGAGGGAGAGGAAATCAGTTTTTTAAAAAGTTCATAACACTGCTAAGTTCCCTGGCAGATTTCATCTGTTAATTGAATCAATTAAATCAGCCATTACTGAATTTAGCTTATTCATTACAAGCTGAAGGATTATATTTTCAAAAGCTCTTTAGCACATATACAATTACAATGTAATCAAGAGACAAAAGGACAAGTCACTACATATTCAAGGAAACCACATACAAAAATTCTCATTTGGCAATGCAAGGCCTTTCCAAAACAATTTGTGCTTTGATGTATTTTCATAATATATTAGCATGAAAGTGTATTTACTTATCTAGAAGCTAAAATAATCTTCAAGCATTTTAAAGATTAAAGAATTCTGCCAACAATTCTTTTTATTTCTTTTCCCATTATCTTTTCTAGGATAACAGAAGGGGAGGGGGAGGGGGTGATTCAAGAATTACAGCCACTTACTCCATTTAATAGTTAAGTTCTTCAAATTTCCTCAACACTTTTCGTCTTGAGGCTTATCATATTCAATATTCAGAAAACATTGATACGAATATTACCAACTTTCTGTGTTGAGTATACAAAAAAATGGCTTCTATTTTTCATAAGGAAAAGAACTGATAATTGAACCATGAAAGACATCAAGTTCTATTTTTTAAGAACTAGAATGAGAGGATATTTGACTAAAATTGCCTCTGTCGATTTCCTTTAGCAGCATGTCAGAAAGTAGATAGTCTAATCATTCTGAATTTTAAAATATTCTGGATTGGATATTATCAATATAATCTTGTCAGCAAACAAACCAAAACTCACCTCAACTATCCTTTAAATTGTTCCATTGTTCTCCTTTTGGATATCAAACAATACTATTTCTCTGTTGCTTTATAAAACTTATCTGAAGACAAGTTTTAATGCCCCTTCTTGTTAACCAAAATTTTAAAGATGAGTTTGCAACATTTGTTTAATAAATGCTAGATGTCAGTCTAATTAGACCTAGTCCCACCTTTTTAATGTTTGCCACATCTTAAATTGGCTTCATTATTCACTATAAACAACCGCCTATAATATTAATAAATTTACTTCATTTTGACAGAATTTAGAAAAGCAATTTACATTTGGGTTTGGTCTTAAAAGAAGTTTTCATTGTAATTATCTTATTTGTGCTTCCTTACTTTGAAAAGAAATAGAAACTTCAGCATATTTAGAAAAACATCTGTGTCAGGTTTCAAGGTCATCTCAAATAAATTGCATTTCAAATAAAGTCTTTGAAGAAAACTCCCATTTATTAAGCATGACATTCAAAGTCCGACTCCATTGCAGCCAACACTGACTTTCAGACCCAAATCCCTCCCTTTCCATTCCCCACTCCCCTGCACTCATTGGCCATCTTCCAAGTCACTCTACCCCTAATCTACTGCTCCAGCTCAAAGGAATTTCCCCCCTCCCATCCCATCTCCTACGGAATATTATCCAGGGAAAATAAGTAGGTGAAAAGTCAAACATCCCTTTCCTTCTTATGTCAACACTAGAGTAAATGCAGCTTGAAGTGCTGACAATCTGCTTCTCGTAGGATTTTCCTTCTACACTTGCAGAAGAATCACCTTGAATGAGGAATTGGAATACAGGAACAAAAAAATGTGGATGATGCAATTTTTTTTGGGGGGGGGGTGCATTATCAGTTGAAACAAATGCTATTGTGCTTCAATCCAGACAGCTGTTATTGCATCTTCTCTCATATAAGACATGCAATATTCATACATTTATACCTACAACCAGCCTATAATGTCTGAGAATTCAAATCAACTGCACAACCAATCAGCAACAGCACCAAATTTCAACCAAACCACAACCCCCCCAACCAGCACTTCACCTCCCAATGACCTTCACCTGATGTGACCTCCCTATCACAAGACCCCTCTAAGACCAATGGTGGGTTGCCCCCAGTTCACACCAGTTCTATAGAACCAGTAGTAAACCCAGCGAGACGCTCCGCCCACTGACCCTGACATCAGCAAAACGCTTCTGTGCATGCCTCATTGCGAACCGGTAGTAAAGGTAAGTAGAACCAGTGGTGGGTTCCTCCCGGTTCAGCCCGGTTCTCCCGAGCTGGTAGCAATGATGATATGACGTCACTGAACCGGTCCCCCCCCGCTCCCCAGGCCCCCATCCACCCACCCCCCACATTATTCTTACCTTTTATTTGGCCCCACCCCCAATCTATTGCTGCCTCCTGAGTCCCAGCTGATGGCTAGAGGGGAAAAAACTGTTTAAACTCTTGCCGCGGGGCTTCAAAGGGCCGCCCTACAGCTGATCAGTGTTAAAAGAAAACAAATGAGTAGACCGGTGCCTGCAAAAATAAATGGGTAGACCAGTGCCTGCAAAAATACATGAGTAGAATCAGTGCCTGCAAAAATACATGAGTAGATCAGTCCCTGCAAAAATACATGAGTAGAGCAGTGCCTGCAAAAAGTAAATGGGTAGATCGGTACAGCTCTGCAAGCAGTTAAAAGCCCAGTAGACTTTTACCTCTGCTCAATCCTAAATAATTGTCACATGACCATCAAGCCACGCCCACAAAATAAGCCACGCCCCCAGAACCGGTAGTAAAAAAATTTAGAACCCAGCCCTGAGTAGAACCCACCCCTGCACAAGACCTTTGTCAACCTTCAGGGTTGCCAACCTTCACCTGACGTGGCCCACACCTGACCCATCACTAAACCCTCACCTGACATGACCGTCCCATCACAAGACCTACTGATCACACTAAACCCTTATAAGCAGAAGAACACCAACACTGACATTCCCTAAATTCCGCTAAAGATGTTACCTAGCCTGGTAAGGAAAAAATTTGCAAACCAACCCACAAGCTTCGAGAATGAACACCCACTTTTATCCTACACCTGAGCTACAGATATTTGCCACTATTGCATTGATATCTGTACTGCGGTTTTCTAATCATACGTGGTGTGCAGTGGTGAGTTGCTACCGGTTCGTCTCCAGATTGGGTGAACGGGTAGTGGCGGTGGCGGAAGGTGGGAGGCTCCGCCCACGACAGGTTTTGAAACCCACCCCTTTTGGTGTAAGGGGACAGGCTGCCTATAAAATGGGCAGCACCTGAGCTGATGGTGCTTTGTCCCTTTAAAACCTCTTCCTAGCCAACTCAGCAATGTGTGGCTACAAAAGCTGAGCAGAGAAGCAGTTGGGTGTGGTGGTGTTAGCGTGGTGTTGATGTGGGGGTGAAAGTGGTTTGTGTTTGTTTGGGGAATTTAAAAAGCCGGTAGCAGCCTAAGGCAAATAAAAGAGTTATTATTTTCTAGAAGTAAATACAGGAGGAACAGGAATTGCATAAATCAACCTGTCTTCCCTACTGTTTCCCTTTCCTAATTTAAATCCTACAAAATTTAGCCACTTTGTGCACCTGATGAAGTTAGTTATAATTCACTAAAGCTGATGCCTTTAATAAAATTTCTGGTCATAAAAAATGATACCAGGCTCCTGATTTACCATAACCTACCCTGCTCATCTCCCCCTCCTAGAGCATTGCCATCAAAGCAGTGGTGAAATGTAAAATTTGTTACTACCGGTTCTGTGGGCACACAGGGGGGGGGGTAATGTGGGTGTGGCCAATTTTTTTTCCCTTTTAAAACCATTTTTTAAACCATTTTGTAAAAAAATGCTTTTAAAAGCCTCGGACGATCCCAACTGAGTTGTCTGATTGGCAGAGGCTTTTTTTTTTTTAAAAGCCTCTGACGATCCCTGCTGAGTTGCCTGATGGGCAGAGGCTTTTTTTTCTTTTAAAAACATTTTTATACAACCTCTTCGGCCGAAGAGGTTGTTAAAAAAATGCTTTTAAAAGCCTCTGATGATCCCAGCTGAGCCGTGGGATCATCAGAGGCTTTTTTTTTTATCTTTAAAAGCATTTTTTCTGCCAAAGAGGTTGTAGAAAAAATGCTTTTAAAAATAATTTTTTAAAAAGCCTTTGATGATGGCGCAGCTCAGCTGGGCATGGAGGGGGTAGGGATTTTTGCTACCGGTTCTCCGAACCACCCGCCACCATCACTACTGGATCAGGCGATCCGGTCCAAACCAGGAGCATTTCACTCTTGCATCAAAGCAAGTATTTCTGCATACAAGCAGGAAGCAGCATCAAGACCCCAAATGAAATCCCAGTGGTTCCACTCGGGAAACTTCTTCTCGTGAATGAGATTAGTAATTCGATGTTGCAATTTTGCAATTTCAGAGGGTCGGGAAACCCAGTCCTGATATCCACTCCACATTGCTGTTGGGATGGTGATTGCTTCAATGTCGTACAGAGGAGGAGTTGTCTGTGGGAAAAAAATGAATAATGTAGTCATCATTCACATATATTTAAATTCACGGTAATTACATTAGTTTTTAATGCTTCTATGTTACACGAAGGAATTGTCTGGGGAAAAATAAATAGCATAGTAATCAACAAGTCAATATCTTCACATACACTTGAATTCATTGATACAGTAAATTAATTTGGAGACTTCATTTAAAAAAAAACAGACGAGAAAGAAAATTAACTGATTAAAAATTCAATCCAATAGATATCTGTTTATAATTTATCTGTTCCCTTAAGTCAACCTCAAGTTTTGGTGGTTTCTTGGATGCAGTATGTATATATATTTGGTTATTTGACTTGTGGATTTCCTTGTTGCTTACCATCTAAGGACAACCCACATTAATCCTGGTTAGCAATCTAAGATCAGCAAACTTTGGTTAAGTACTCTTCTGGTACAGTGAACCTTTATAGCAATGGACTGATGTGGTATATTAATGAACAAATACATTATGATCTCAGCCCTTCTCCTTTTTCCATAGTACAGCTGAGCACAATTTTCATTTTGTTTCTCTTCATTTTAGTTTTCTTTCCTTTCTTTGGATCAGTCTAAATGAACTGATCCAAAACAAAAGCTAAAATTGACAATAAAGCCAAAACAAAAAAACCTGATCAAATGTAATTGAAACTAAAATTATCAAATGCAATTAATACGATTATTCTTTATATATTTAATACTTTTTCCCTTCCACGCATGACTTTTTCTTCCCTTTTTTTTTCCTGTTGTATATTTCCCAGTTTGTTTTACAAGCCATCAGAGAATGTGACAGGACTATAAACCTTTAAATGGACCAATATCTATGTACTGAAAGGGGCTTTCCAACAATTCTATCCAAAATTATATCCACAATCCATTAAATTCCTACCTGGTTGTATATAACTTTGTTCTTTGAGCCATAATCATAATATTGAAATCGACCTGAGTAAGATGTCTAGAAAACAAAAGAAAACAATGTTTAGATATGTATACAGACTTTCAGCAAAACACAAACTTGCGCTTCCAAAACCATAACTTTCATACTAAGCACAATTGATGAGAAAAACAGAAGTGTTTACATGTTCTTCAACTATAGATTTGTTGTATATTGTCTAAGTAACAAACTTTGACCTATCTCACCATAGGTCCCCAAGACAAATTTTCATTGTCTCCCAACTTTTCATTAGAACTCTTCCTTTCGCTGAAATAAAAGCACTACCTTTTAGGGTTAGAATTAAGATTAGATCATAGGTCTTTTTACATGGCAGAATGTTTTATTAGATTTAAATTGCAATGAGTGAAAGGTTGTGGATCTCAGAGAGTTCTTGATTTAGGTTTCTGTTCTATTCTATTCTATTCTATTCTATTCTATTCTATTCTATTCTATTCTATTCTATTCTATTCTATTCTATTCTATTCTGTTCTTCATTAATTGTCCTCACTGTCAGAAAATGTATCCTTACTTCTAGGCTGGATCTCTCTTTAACAAGCTACCACCTGTTACTTTTTGTCCTGCCCTCTGGTGCTTTGGAAAATAAGTCAACACCCTCTTCTTTATGAAAGCCCTTCAAATATTAGAACCCAGCTATGATGTCCCCTCAATCCATCCCTTTGATAGGCTAGACATACTTAGTTCCCTCAACCATTCATCATACAATTTAGTCTCTTAATATCTTTGTTTCGTACTTTGCTTATTTTATAAGGTATCAGCATCTTTTTTTGTATTGTAGTGACCACAATTAACGTTTGTGCAGAACTATGTACTAACTGTACATAATATTGTAACTGTGACCTCACAAGTGCAGTATAAAGCGGTATTAGCACTTCTCTGATCTTGATGCTATCCATCTGTTGATGCAGTCCAGGACTGTATTCATTTTTTTGGCAGCTATGGTATATTGCTGACTTAAGTGGTGATCCACTAGGACCATGATGGCGAACCTATGGCACGGGTGCCACAGGTGGCACGCGGAGCCATTTTGGTGGGCACGTAAGTGTTACCCTAGCTCAGCTCCAGCGCGCATGCACGCACCAGCCAACTGATATTCAGGCCTTCCGGTTCCACCGGAGGTCGGGAAACTGGCTGTTTCCAGCCTCCAGAAGGCTTCCGGGGAGATGGGGAAGGCTGCTTTTGCCCTCCCCAGGCTCCTAGAAAGCCTCTGGAGCCTGGGAAGGGAGAAAAATGGGTCTACCGGGACCACCGTGCCATCGCGTGCCAAAAGCAGGGGGAAATGTGGGGGGGGTCACATGTGCATGCGCTGGAGGGCAGGGTGCATTGAATTATGGATGTGGGCACACGCACCCATGACCCCCCACGCTCCCTCCACTTTTGGCACGCGACAGCAAAAAGGTTAGCCATCACTGCACTAGGACATCTAGATCTCTCTCACAGTGACTAGTGTTGAGCCAGGTACCACCAATTCAGTACCTATATTTTTGTTTTTTCCAGCCTAAGTGCAAGACCTTACTTTTCTCACCAAGGAACTGCATCTTGTTGGATAGGCCCCAATGCTCATGTCTGTCAAGATCTTTCTGAATCTTGAATTTATCTTCTACAGTGTTTCCCCCACCTTGGTGCCATCTGCAAATTTCATGCATTCCCATTCTATCCCATCATCTAGATCGTTTATGAAGATGCTGAACAGCACTGATTCCAAGACAAAATCTCAAGGTACTCCACTGCATGCTTCCCTCCATGTAGATGTAGTTTCATTGAGGACTAGGCACTGGTTGTTGTTGTTCAGCCAATTGCAAATCCATTTTGTGGTGATACTGTCTATCCCACATAGTAAGCTATGGTCTACTTTGTCAAATGCCTTACTGAAATCTAAGTATACAACAGCCACAGAATTTCACTGGTCCATTAATTTATTTGCTTTATCAGTGAAGTAATAAGGTTTGTCTGACCAAATCTGTTTTAATAAACCCAAACTGGCTTCTACTAATCACATTTATTTCTAGGTGCTCCCAAGTCCTTCATTTGATTATCTTTTCCAGGATTTTCCCAGGTGTTGATGTCAAGATGACTGGTCTATAATTTCCTGGATCCATTTTTCCCCTTTTTGTAGATTAGAATGACATTTTCCTCTGTGCTACAGGATGTTTGAAATATAAATTTAAGATTATTGACTCCAGGATTATGTCTACCAGCTCCTTCAGACCCCTGGGATGTAAACCATCTGGTCCAGGTGATTTGCACTTGTCAGGGTTTGGATAAGTAGTCTCTTACTAATTCTTTATCTCTTTTGACTTGTATACCTGTTCCATCTCCTTCAGTGCTGATGTGACAGATACAAAGAAGGAATTAAGCAGTTCTACTTTCTCTCTGCTGCCTGTCATCTTCTTGCCATCTGCTGCCATTAGTAGACCTATTGTTCCCTTGACTTTCTTCTTTCTCCTTACATATTGAAGGAAACTTTTAAAATTACTTTTGGCATTAGTTGCTAGCCTTAGTTTATTCTGGGCTTAACTTTCCTTACACCCTCTTTGCAGATTTGGGCGATTTGCTGGTATTCTGTTTTAGTTATGTGTTCCTTTTCCCATTTTATATATTTGATCTTTTTGTCCCTCGATTTTTCAGAGAGCTCTTTGTGCAGCCATGCTAGTCTCATCTGGTGTCTTTTGTGGTTGTTGTTGTTTTTCTGTGGTATTGTTTTTTTCTTGGGCCTTCGTTATCTCATTTTTCAGGGTCTCATAAGCATCTTGAACTGTTTTTCCTTTTAGGAATTCCATCCATGGAATCCTTCTTAATCTCTCAGTTTGAGGAAGTCAAGTCTCTTAAAGTCTAGAATACTAGTCTGACTTGGTTCAATTACTTAGGGTTGCATTGTGGTGAATTCAAGTATAACATGTTCGTTCTCTCCCAAAGTTCCTGTAATTTCTACTCCCTCAACCATTTCATCCCTATTAGTAAGAAATAAGTCCAGTATAGCTGTCCCTCTAGTTCCCCTCTCTACCCTTTGTATGACAAAGTTGTCAAAGTTGGCACATCAGGAACCTGTTTGATCTCCCATTCTCTGCAGAGTTTGTTTCCCAGTTGATGTCAGGTTAGTTAAAGTCGTTATTTATTTATTTATTTATTTATTTATTTATTTATTTATTTATTTTTCGTATTTCTATGCTGCCCACTCTCTGAGGACTCTGGGCGGCTTACAACAAAGACAACGTGAACAACATATTGCCCCCAACAATCTGGGTCCTCATTTTACCCACCTCGGAAGGCTGGAAGGCTGAGTCAACCTTGAGCCAGTGAGATTTGATCTGCTGATCTGCTGAGCTAGCAGTCAGCTGAAGTAGCTGCAGTACTGCACTCTAACCACTGCGCCACCTCAGCTAACTAGTTATCAAAAAGTCCTCTGGTTGGTTGGATGACCTGTAGTACATACCTGTTGCAAAATCATTTCTTTTTCCTTTGATATTTACCTTAATACTTTTAAGAAGGCTTTTATCCTTAGTATTGTGAAGGTGTACTACGATACAACATACACACCCTTTTTTGTTAGATCTGTTCCTTTTGAATAATTTATATCCTTCTTGTTGTGTATTCCAATCATGGAGTCCCTCCCATCAAATTTCAGTAGGAGTACAAATGAAAAACCAATATGAGCACCCAAATTCTTTGCCTTTCTGCCTATGTATTCACAGTCCATTGAAACTGATTTCAGGCTCTGAGTTGTATCATTCGTCCCAACATAAAAGAAGGGAAAGAGATAATAATCAGTGAGTCTGATTCATTTAGTGAGACTCTCTGCCATATTTTCATAGGAATTAAAATACTTCCTTTAAGAAATTTTGTGGTGTACAAATTGGTGTCTCTGTTCCTCTGAGTAGTGAGTCACCAATCACCAAGACACACCTCTCTTTTTTTTGGTTTGTTTGTTTTGAGAAGTCTGAGCAATTTTACTCCTTATCACTGGAACATTTGACAAAGTCTTATCATTAATGTGTGTTTCCTCCCTGGGGGAGGAAATTAAATTGATTGCCCAGTTCCAAAGAGGCCAGTTCTCAAACTTTTGTTGGTGTTGTTGTTCTTTGCATGTTGTGCTGCCATCGCTTTTCCGCCTTCCCCTTCCCCTTCCCCTTCTCCTTCCTTGCTGTGCTCTGTTTGGATAGACACTTCTTTTTAATAGGAGTTTGTCATGTTTCTCATCTTCACCATTGTGTGGGAGTGTCTGAAGTTTCAGTATCTTGACCTGCCTTGAGAGTCTTCACTTTTTCTTCATGTAACAATGTAGTTAGACTCTTTGTTTTTCTTCATGCAAAATTTTACTCTGTAGTTTGTATATAACTCCACAAGAAGTAGACAATGGTTTTTCTCTTATGGCCCTGTTTATAATTCCTCGAGAAGTAGAACAGTGTCTTTATATATTAAAAAAAAAAGTTTTAAAAAATGTCTAAAAAGAGAAAAAGCTTGTAAAAATACATGTGGAAAAGCAATTTTAAATTTTAAAACATATATGTTAAAATATGTAAAAACAAAGTCTATCTAAAAATTGGTGGGCCCTGTTTATATTTCACAGGAAGTCGGCCGATAGAGTCTTTATAAATCATGTTAAAAAAAGGAAAAAAGATGTAAAAATTTTTTTGAACTCTTTAGTTCAAATTAAAAATCTGATTAAAAATTAGCTTTTGCTCCCTTTTGCAGTTACTATTGAAATAACCCTTAAGTCAACCAACCAATGTCTTGTGGGAGGGCCCCAAAAATTTATAGGGGAGAGTAATAAACAAAAAGAAGCAAACAAAGAGAAATCATTCACAAAAAGGTAATCACTGAACTCACAGAAAAATTAGGGGCATCAAAAAATAGATTCTCCTTCTATTGCTCTTTACTCTTTTTTTTATCATTCCAAATCTGAATATCCGTTTGTCTTTCTTTTTGAAAAGAACAAAACAATGAAAGGCTACAAGGAAAGTTCTGTCTGGAATGCAGCAGCTCTTCAGGCCAAATTAATCACTCTTCAATTCCCTAATAGCTCTGTGGTTGTACAACTGTGGTACATTGATGACCTACTGCAGAATGCAAATAACAACATTTCAACTGTACTGCTATTCCATCTAGCAGATCATAGACACAATGTCAGAAAGTTGTACAGTTCTGCATGTTTCAGGTTTTGTTTCTAGGTAATTTCATTTCACAGGGTGACCAGAGAGAGTACGTGCTATTCACACCAAGGAAAAAGACCTAAGAACATTCTTAGGGATGGTTGGCTTTTGCAGGCCACGGATTGTGGACTGAATTCCTATCCTCAGTTATTCCAACCACAGTTAAGGGCATTGGGTAGTAGCAGATGAATCACTTTAAAAAACCTCAAATTTGTACTTTCCTTTGCTCCTGCCTTATATCTCCTGAATTATTCTTCATTTTTCTCTACAAGACATGCATGTTCTAGGATAGATGACATAACTCTCCATGACTGTTTTTTTTTTTCCCCTAATGCTACATTGGAACAAAACAATAAGCTAAACAAGAACAGCCAAAACCAGGAATGCCAGCCCCAAGATGCTGTCGAGCCTCAACTGGACAACTGCGCTTAAATTCCTTTTTTATCCCCTCCCTGGACAACTGCTTTCTAGTTGGTTGGAACTCCTGGTCCACCAAAGTCTAGTTGTGGATCAAGCTGTTGTCTTCCAATCAAGCAAAACACTACCACATAATTAACAAAGGCAGATATGTTGAAATACTTTTTTTTTTCACTTGTGGTTACTATACCTGACTCCAATGGACTATATTTTTCACAGAGGTATAATCTGGGAATCGTGATAGGTACACATCAACCCGATTCTGTAAGAGAATGGTGAATTATTGAGAATTCATTTCATTTCACAGAGAAATCTTGTATTGAGAGAGTTATAGACAGCAACTTCAATGTTGCCATTGACTTCTATAGCAGCATGGCCACTTGAGAAGTCAGCGAAAGTGTCCCATTGGACAGGCCAGACGCAAACACTGACATGCATACATCATAAATGCCTGAAGTTATCCAGCTATGTGCCTTCCACACAGTAAGTGACCACTGTGTCATGTGTGCCATGAGGTCATCAGGCGAACAATGCAAATTATGCAATGGTTGTGCAATCCTTTGAGCAATGGCCTCATATTATGCATGATGTTGCATGCCTTCCCTTCTGCCCACAACAATCTGTTTTAGATCCCATGACGTGTATGGGAATTGCAAAGTCAAATTTGAATCTTAAGAAGAGGAAAGGGTTTGTTGTGGCCCACCAGCTGCCAGCAGAGCTGGCGGCAGACTCGGACGATGAGGAGGTTGGGGAAGAACTAGGGCCAGTCCTGGAGTCTGGAGAAGGCTCTGATCAAGGCTCTGCATCAGAAAAAGAGATAGAGCCAGGACCGTCTGACATTCCCCAGCTGCCTTCAGAGTCGGAAATAAGTGGGGAAGAGGAACAGATGGGGCCTGTTCCAGATGTGCGTATGTGCGGAGCTGTCAGGAGAGGAGAATAATTGAGGACCAAGAGCCGACTCGGAAAGAAAGGCACACATGGTGGTTGCAGGACAACCGTTTGGATTTCTTCCAGAAGATTTATTCATCATGATTCATGCCTCAGAGACTGTTTGGGAGAGTTTAATTTACAGCTTTGTGGTTGGCAGCTCCCGGCCTGGCAATTATCCAAGGACCTGATAAGATGTGTACTTCAGTTAACCCTTGGAAGGATTATTGCCTGGACTTTTCTGTGTGTGAATGCTATGAATTCACAGTAGCTAAATAAAGAATAGGTTTTTTTCGGGACAAGGAGTCTGTTTCTTGGTTCTGTTAAGGCTGGGTCAGAAAAGGGTTGTCCTGTACAATAACATCTACAAACCTCATGACAAGATTTATAGATGCTCTACTTAATCTGGAGGGCATTAAGTATATCTGAACTTAATGCCCTTCAGATGTGTTAGGCAACTCTGATGGATTCCAGAAGTTGTATTCCTCACATATCTTGGGACTGCCAGGTAAGAAAAACAACCTAGGAATTTTTGAATGTTAAGTATTATATAGCATTTATACTCACCGAATTCAGACTTCTCTCACTGAAACCACCAACCAGAAAAAGACCTTGCTTGCAGATCATGTTTAATGGTTGGTAACTGCACATTCGAGCCAGCTGTGCTCTCAGTTTGGGGCTCAGCAAGCAGAATTCTTTTCTGCCAAATATAATCTGTACACCCATCACAAAGACAGTTCACATTTTGAATATTAATTACATGCATTTCTAAGATCACTTTGTTGCTCTAATTCAGGGGCGCTGAGTACATTCATTTTCTGAATTTCTTTCTGCTGATTGTTTCACACCATAGCATTATTTATACATTGGGCAGTCTTCAAATTTGATATATAAATAACAATAAAAACAAACTCCACCCTATCCGCAACAGCCTCTATTTCAGTAAAGTTTTATGAACATGTACTTACATGTTCATAAAAGCAACCCACCTACCAGCATGTTATTTATGATTTTCTATTCTGGTTTTTTTTTAATGTTTGGACAGCACATATATTTTGAGAGTGTCAGTTGGGCAAGATCAAAAGATAAAGAAGTACAAGACTTCAGAAAGTATGATTAATGTAATCTTTGAGTAAATACAGAATCTTGGAAATCTCAAGAGGGATTTCCAATTCTCATTCATAAGGAGTTCGTTACAATGAAATTTGTTTGAAGGATTGTAAATGCTTTTTCCCAGTTTTCTTGCCATTGGAGCCTGAGTAGCTGTTGATAAAATAAGCTACTAAGAGACTCTTGACTGCGAATGTCTAATCTTCCATTACTTTCCCATCTATATACAATCTCTCACACTGAGCATATTGTGAGCGCCCACAGAAAATAATTGCTTGAAAAACTGGATGTTCCCAAAATGATTGCTATTAAGAGTACAGGTAGTCCTCAATTTATACCAGTTCATTTAGTGACCATTCCAAGTTGCAACTGCATTGAAAAAAGTGATTATTTTTCACACTTACGACCATTGCGGTATCCTCATAGTCACATGATCAAAATTCGGATGCTTGGCAACTGACTCATATTGATAACAGTGGTGGTGCCCCGGGTCATGTGATCACCTTTTGTAACCTTCTTACAAGAAAAGTCAATGGGGAAGCCAGATTCACTCAACAACCATGTTACTAATTTAACAGCTGCAGTGATTCGCTTAACAACTGTGGCACGAAAGGTCGCAAAATGGGGCAAAAGTCACTTAAATGTTTCACTTAGCAACAAAAATTTGGGGCTCAATTGTGGTCGTAAGTCAAGGACTATCTGTAGGACAACTATTAAAATACCATTTACTAGATGACAAATGGATGAGTCTGTCCTCTACTGCAGAAATCACCAACCTTTCCGGCTTTACGGACTGGCGGAGGGAGGAGAGGGGGTGGTTCCGTGGGAGAATCAGGCAAGTGCGCACACAAATAGATCATGCATGCACATGCTTGCTGACTGCTTGCACAAGTGGGGATATTCATGCACGCACATGCACTTGCCCCCCTCCACACACCTCCGTGGCCTGTTTCCAAACGGCTCACAGACCGGTAGTGAGCTGAGGCCCAGGAGTTCAGGACCCCTGCTCTATTGCTTCCTCTAATCTGCCAACATTAGTGTCTCTGGCATGTATAAAAGCAGTCAGGATGGGGACCATATCCACAAATTGAATCCTTCCCCTGTCTATGTGCTTATGCCATCTATGAATATACAAAAGGGTAGGGCTCCAATCACATACAGTGTCAACCCTGAAGCTGGTCTGAGCGGGGCCATTTTCTGAGCTTCAGTGTTGGCACACTAGAGCTGATGGATAGGGAGCGGGGAATAGAGATAAAAGGGGTTTGTAGCCAAAACAAAATACTTTCTCCTGGGAACCAAGGACATTCCCACAGGTGGTTGGAGAGAAGATGAGTGAAGACATGATGATTGGACCAGGTGACTGATTGTTTTGGGAAGGGGGAGGGGGACTTTTACTTTTAATTAGGTGAAAACTGTGGGAATATTCAGAGTTGGTTTTCACCAGCCTATGCCAATATGAGATATCCAATAAACCAGTTCTTTGAGGAATCTACCTGCCTCAGAGTTCTATTTATTATGGGTGTATTACTTGGAACCATGACATACAGTACTTGCAGCTTCCATCTTGCCTTTTTCAATCCCACCCCTAGTGCTCTATTCTCGCAGGATACTAACAACTTCCCCCAGGAAAATAAAAGGCTTAGAGGCTTACCTTCAACAACGACTCTGGCAAACGTGTGATTTGCAATAGCACACTTTTCGTATCCTGAAGGGTATATAAAGGGGCCAAGGCAAAAAACATCTTGACCTTAGCTGCCAGTTGAGGTATTCTTGAAAATCCAACAAAGCCTGGAAATAAAGTTTCCGGTTAGGGTCCTTTAATTTGACTTTTATTGCAATAATTGTAGGAATGTTGATTACATTTTTAATTAAGCTTGGCTCATTGGATATGGTTTACTTAGCAACAACGCAAGAGGGGTTTGTCCTTGATTTGTTCCAGAAAGTAGTTTTTACCTTCCAGATCAAAGCTTAGATATTTGCTTTTTCCTGGGAAATTTCAAATTCAGAATTGGTCAGTTAAGTGCTGCCCCCTAGCTAGATCTTGTTAGTAAGTACTTATTTTTTAAAATGAAGTTAACAAAATATCAGAACGGATGTAATATATAGAAAGCAATTTCCGTAGGAGAAGTGGTATTCTCCTGAGCAACACCTCTGCATGTGAATGAGGTTATTTTCAACTGGTTATCTATTGGTAACATATAAATCAAAAGATGCGTTGATATGGCAATTGGAAAGGCCTCTGTCTTAATGCCCATCCATTGCTTTATAGTTGAATTTGCTGAATAAACATTCAGTTATGAGCACCCATTGCAATGGTTGAAGAATGGAGTCCAGTTCAATTTTGCTATCAATGTATGAAGGAACATGAGAGAGATTGTGCTCAGTTTCTACAAGATCAGCAAATGTCTTGAAAGGATCTCTGTGGGTCCCAGTTTGCTTGCAAAGTACTCTCATTTGTGAACATTTCTCAAATATTTCATTTGTGAAACATTTATCTTATAAGTGTCTTATAGGAGACCCAGTTTTGTGTATTGCAGAGGTCTCTAACCCCCAAGCTAGTGGGCTGCAGCCCCTTTAGAACTGGGCCACTCACGCAACAGGCAGGTGCACACATGTGTTCTGACTCAGCCTTCGCAAGCAATGAGAACCTGCTTACTCACAAGTAAAACAACCCCCTTTTTAAAAAACAGGGCAGGAACAGTTCACATCAGATAAACAAAACCAAAAGTAATTAGTCACAAATGAAAGTCTTTCCCCCTTCTGAAACCAGGCAAGATCAGTCTCTGTTCACATGAGAATTCAAGATAAAGAGTCCTTTCAATGATTAAGCCAAGCAGAACAGTCCCTCTTCACTCCAGCTGAGGCAAATTCACTCCCTGTTATTTCCCACTAGGGAGACTCAATTGACACCTCAAATACAAGTAATTAGTCCTGACAAACCTAGTTCTGGCAAAGGAATCTGGCAAAGGAATCTGACTTGATTGATGTACACTGGAAAACAAACGATTGTCTGCAACAACAGGCCGCTCCCAAACCCATACTATTTATTTCCCAGCCAGGGAGGGGCTGGCTAGCATCTAAACTTCTTTTCCCTAAGAACCAGTTTATTGTCTTCTGTTGCTCTCCTCTTCTCTCCTGTCTATACATATGTGCATCTGGGATGGGCCCCATCTGTTCCTCCCCCTCACTCAGGCCCCAAAGACAGCCACCTCTCCATCTGGGGGCGGACAGAAGGTCCTGGCTCTGCCTCTGATTCTGCTTCCTCATCAGAGCCTTCCAAAGGCTCCGAAGCTGGCCCAGGCTCCCCCTTCACCTCTCCATCCTCCTCGTCTGACTCTGCTGCTAGCTCTGCTGGCAGCCAACAGGATACAACAGCATGTACCTGCCACTCACAGAGAACCATCCCCTCTCCCTCCTCCTGCCAGCCACCAAGCCGGGAAGGTTAGGGACCACTGGTCTAGTGGTTAAGGCACCTGGTTAGAAAGCAAGTGACCAGGAGTTCAACTCCCACCTTGACCATTAAAGCCAGCTTTGGACTAGTCACTCTCTCTCAGCTCAACTCACCTCACAGGGTATTGGGTATGTTTGCTGCCTTGAATCATTTGAAAAGTAATATATGTATGTATGTATGTATGTATGTATGTATGTATGTATGTATGTATATATATATATATATATATATATATATGTTTTCTCAGGTTTTCGCGGGTATTTGTATGTAGGTCTTTGGTTATTCGGGTCTTCTCCCACGTAAAATTGGAAGTGTCTTGGTGACGTTTCAATGAAGTGCTTCGTGCTTCCTGGAAGCACGAAGCCGAGAACACCAGCCTGAAGATGACGAATGAGACTTCGTCGAAACGTTACCAAGACACCTCCAATTTTACGCGGGAGAAAACCCGAATAACCAAAGACCTACATACAAACATCCGCGAAAACCTCAGAAAACATATATATATATATATATATATATATATGGAAAATCAATGGAGAGAGGAAAAAGGGAGACAGGATTGCAAAGGTAAATATTTTCTCCAACATTTCTTTATTCTTGGGTTGTAATTGATGAGATTTGTCAATTAATGTTTTGATTCTGCAAACAGGTAAAAGGTATTACATCCATGAACCATGTCCAGCAAGGACTAGGAAGTGAGCTGGACTAAATGATCTCAGAAATATTTCTGATCCTTCCATTCTGGGATTCTATTAATTTTGATTCCTAGGGTAGACCTTCTTCACATAGCAATGATTTCGTTTGATTTCTGAACAGTAAATATTTCAAACATCACCAAGAATGCACAAAAATGTTGCCTTGTATAATAGTTTCATTCTCAACATACCTATATTGCAGCCTTGTGAGTGGCAGACAAAATAGAGATCCTCCTGTCCGCTTTTGTGAAGAATAAAGTTTATTATGGCAGAAAGGTCATATATGCCAATTTCGTGAAAACTGAAACCAAACACATATAATTGAGAATGAAGAGAATTTTTAGTTATTAATTCCATGTATTGGTCCTTTTCCTAAATTACTAGTAAGTGTATTTAACTAACAAAAACCCCCCCAAAATTAGCATCCTTCAGATATCTATATATTTGCCCAGGAAAAGAGAAAAACCAGAAATTTCCTTGACTCACTGGTTCTAGTTTAGTATAAAATTTATAGCTAGAATAAAACTTATAGCATATTAAAATTTAGGCATGCTTGATTTGATTTGATATGAATTGTAACTTCAGTCTTAATCAAAGTTCAAATTAGTTTCAAGAGTTGATTCCATTCAATTGATTGAAAGATTTCAATGAATGGAACTGATTTAATAAAAACTAAGCACGCATGAAAACTGCTGAATTACCAAATCAATGTAAAAGTACCCAGTTCAAAGAAACATTATTCAATCCAATGCAAAAACAATTTAGTGCTAGCTAAAGAAAAAAGATTATATAAACCAACTTCTCTTAAAACTGAAACTATGCACAGCGAATTTTTCCATAATGGTAGTTAGTTAATTGTTACCTTTTAAACATTTACATTTAATTGTAGTGTATTTTTTTCCCTTATGTTCTTTCATATCTTGCTTTGCTTACGCTGTAACCACTTGGCTTTAGTAAAAGTATATCTTTTGCTACACATGGAGTCGAGTCTTTCTTTCCTAAATGCCCAAGCTGGGAGAGGCCTGACATTAATGTTCAGAAATGAAAATTTGCCTAACCTATCTCAGTATTTTTTAACTGGTACAGTGCAGAAATACATTTTCAGATTGGAAAAGTAAAGTACAAATCTAGTGAATTAAGAAATAACTATATACATTAAATATAATGATGAGTCCCAGTATTTGCACATGATCACTTGGACTTAATTTGGCTGGGATGATATAAGGCTCCTGACTTGAGTAGGAGGTTGGACTAGAAGACCTCCAAGGTCCCTTCCAGCCTATGATTCTATAGTATAAATCAGTGGCCCTCTACCTTTTGGGCACCAGGAACCAGTTCCATGGAGAGAGGTTTTTCTGTGGACCGGAGGGTGCGTGGTTTTGAGTGCTGCCTGCATCCTAGGGATGGAGGCTTCCCTTGTTTGCGTGACCCAGTTTCTGGTATGCCATGGACCGGTATCAGTTCCCCTACTGGAGGTTGATGACCCCTAGCATACAGCTTTATCATTCTATTCCTCTATTTCACAAATTTAAAACATACTTATTAAAGATGCAAATCTGGGTGAATTTGCTCCTTGAGTGGAAAGACAAACAATCAAGAAAGTTCAGGAAATGCTTGGAGATCTAGGAAAACATTGAAAAATTTGCCAGAAATGTGCCAAATATATAATTGTAGCATCGTTCAAATCAACAATCGGCGTATTAAATAGATAGTAATCTAGATCAACATAGAGTACAAATGCTTTGGATTGCAAAAAAATATATCGTTAAAATGTCAACTTGCAAAATGAATTCCAGTCACTTACATGCCAACTGAGCATACCTGAAATTCCAAAATTCTTCTTGATCAATTGAGAAGTTTTGATGCCTTCTAGACCAAGTCGTTCCTCTGATATTGCCAATCCACACATCATATCCAGCATCTGCTAGTATGAAGCCAAGGCTCTGATGTGGAAGGTTTGCTATCCAAACGCTGCCTTCCATAGTCAAACAATGAAGCAAGAATACAGGAGATTTGGAACCTTGTGAAGTTATGGAAATGAAAACATTCGTTACTTCCCATATGTAACAATATAGCTACTAATATAGGGCTTTTCAGTTACTACATTTGAACATAGAGCTGGTGGCGCAGTGGACTAAACTGCTGCTGTTAAAGTAGTAGGTAGCTGCCAGCTGCCTGCAATTGCTGCAAGTTCAATTCTCACCAGGCTCAAAGTTGACTCAGCCTTCCATCCTTTCGAGGTAGGTAAAATGAGGACCCGAATTGTGGTGGCAATAAGCTGACTTTGTATAAAATAGAACACCGCTCGGGGGGAGGGGGCAAAAAGCCCTACTAATCCTACCTTTGTTGGATCTTGGGTGAGGGTACAGTAGAACCTCTGGTCACAACCATAATTTGTTAGATTAATTTTGATCGCAACCAATGTTTTGGTCGGAACCTGATTTGGTCATGGTCAGAAGCGTTCATTACCAGAGGTTCTACTTCATTTGCTTATGTATAGAGCTATCTATCTCTTTATCTCTTAAGTGCTGACATCTTCTGTGGGTTATTAAGAAAAGGTGGGGGCTGCTTTCTGTTTAAAACAACATGTTTCTCCATTTCTCATTCAAGGATACATAATATTCTGCCTTTTTAAATATTTCTCAAAATACTTCATTTTTCTAGGAGAGGGGTGGGTGCTAACTTTCTACACACGTATGCCTGTAGGTATACCCCAACACATGTACATATATACACCAGTAGTAGGTTCCAAATCCCGTCACTACTGGTTTGCTCGTGGGCGTGTGCATACTCGTCCGGGCAGGTGGGCGGAGCCTCCCACTACCGCTGCCATCGCTGCAACCCGGTTCGCCTGATCCGGGGCGAACCGGTAGCAACCCACCATTGATATACACTTACATACATACTGACCCAAATCTTGGAAGATCAACACAAATTGGGGGTCAGGGAATTTTTTTTTTTTCTTACTCTTTGTATGTCCTGGGATCCTGTTCAGGCTCAAGTAGTAGCCATCTTCTGTAAGGACTTCATATTCCTCTGCTGGATATCCCCAGAACTGAATTATCTCACTCTATAAGGAGGCAAAGAGAAAAATCTACCACCACCTTCTTCCAAAGCAGAAATATAAAGTTTCTGACAGTGGAAGCTAGAGTTCATGAAAAGCTTTATTGCTGAACGTTAAAATATCAATGTCATTGTCCCAGTGTTTATTGTCACATAGTCAAAGCAGCATTAGCCAAATACAACAGGTTGGTATCAGCATAACTGCGAGAACAAAGGCTTTCAGAAGTACATACGGGCTTTAGGGAAAAAAATGCTAAAGGGAAAATAAATCATTATAATCATTTCTGATCCCATTCATGTGCCACAAAATGCTGCCTGATTGTTGGGGACCTGATATAAATCCTGAAAGGAAGTCGGGAAGCACTATTAGACAAATGAGTACAACTGAATCCCAAAATAGGAGGATTCCCCAATGTAATATTTTACTTCATGATTGACCTGTAAAATCAAAGGCTGCTTTATTGGGGTGTGAGGGAGACATTCAGACAACCACTAGACGAGAGGAAAGGGAAATCAACGTCTGCCATCTAGTGGATCTTCTTGCTATCTGCAGCCTGGGTAAAAAGGCCCTAGAAAAGGCTTGATAATATCTACAACATACATAGAAGAAAGTCACATTGAACACAATTGGTAAAAATACTTTTTGAGAGCTCAACTCACAATATTCATGTGGGATTCAGGATTCATTTTTCTGATGGTTTCTACTTCTTCTGATCTCACATTTTCATATACATGAATCATAAGCAGCAATAGCCATATCGTGGAGCACCTGAAAACAGTTAAAAAATGTAGGGAAGAGTTCCAGTTCAATCTGGAAAATGCACACCTGGGTTTAAAGAGTTGTATTCCACTGTAAGCACTGTTGCAACCACAAAGCATTTGGGTGAACTATAATGTATTTAAAGGTAAATGAATCAATGGAGGGAGACAAAATCATTTTTTAAAAAAAGTTTATAACACTGCTGAGTTCTCTGGCAGAATTCCTCTGTTAATTGAATTCAATAATTCAGTCATTACATAATTCAGCTTATTCTTTACAAGCTGAAGGTTTATATATTCAGAAGCTCTTTAGCAGGTGTACAATTGCAGTATAGCCAGGAGCCAAAACCTGTACATATTCAGGGAAATCACGCAAACACACACACACACACACAAAACCCTCTCATACCCAAGGCTGTACATTGCTTGCCAATGTACAGCCTTTCCAAAAACAATTTGTAATGTGATATATTATTGATATATATTAGCGTGAAAATATATTTACTCATCAAGAAGCTAAGATAATAGCCTTCAAGCACTTTAAAGATGTAAGAATTCTGTGAATCTTTATCCCTTTTCCCATTATTTTTTCTAGGATAACAGGAGAGAGAAGAGCAAGAGGAGCCTTTTCATCATCAAACCTACCATATTCAATATTTAGAAAACATTGATTCAAATATTACCAACTTTCTATGTTGAGTATAATGGAAGCAATAAAAATTTAAATGAGAAAAGTGGGCAGGGAGATTGCTATTTTTTTAAAGAGCTAGAATGAGATTTTAATAAAACCATCTCAGTCAACTTCCTTTAGCAGAACATGTCAGAAAGTAGATTTTCTAGTTATTCTGAATTTTAAGACATTTTGGATTAGATATTATCAGTGTAACCTTGTCAATAAGCAAACCAAAACTCACCTCAACAATCCTTTAAATTGTCCCATTGTTCTCCTTTTAAATATCAAACAATAATATTTCTCTGCTGCTATATAAAAATGATTTGAAGATAGGTTTTGCTGTGTCTTCTTGTTAATCAAGACTAAAAAATGAGTTTGCAACTTTTATTTAACGAATCCTATATATCATGTATTGGATTCAGTCCCGCCTTTTTAATATGTGCCATATTTCATAGGTTGTCTTAATTATAAACCACCATCTGCAATAGTAATATATGTACTTCGTTTTGACAGGATTTAGAAAAGCAATTTATAGTTTGGGTTTCATTGCAATTATCTTTAATGTGGCTCCTTACATTAAAAGAGAAAAGTCTACATATTTAGAGAAGCATCTGCTTCTCATAGGATTTTAGTTCTACACATTCAGCAGAACCACCTTGGACAAGAAATTTGAATATAGTGTGGGAAGAAATATCCATCTGGTTCAGTTCCAAGCTGCGACTCCACTGGAAACCTGGAGGCTGATTGGAAAGATGGTTTATTGATGAAGCAGAATCACATGGGTTTGTGGTTCTGGGCAGCTGACAAAATGGAGTTGAGAGTGAGGGGTTTTTATACTTTCTTTGAGTTTTGAATTTGAGCTTCCTGTTGAAGAACATGTCTTCTATTGGCTGTTGTCAGATTCCTATGGGGTCATGTAGGGGTTATGTAGAGGTCATAGCTGGCTCTATTGGCAAAAGAGGAGATGAAAATCCTAAGTGTTTGTCTGAGCTCCCAGATTTGGTTGAAGTTTGGACTGCTTCTAATCCAGAGGTGGGTTTCAGCAGGTTCTGACCAGTTCTGGAGAACCGATAGCGGAAATTTTGAGTAATTCGGAGAACCGGTAGTAAAAATTCTGACTGGCCCCACCCCCATCTATTCTCTGCCTTCCAAGTCCCAGCTGATTGGAAGGAAATGGGGATTTTGCAGTAACTTTTCCCTGCCATGCCCACCAAGCCATGCCATGCCCACCAAGCCACACCAAGAGAACCGGTAGTAAAAACTTTTGAAACCCACCACTATTCTAATCCTATCATTCTGCCTTTTGTTTCAAAATATCCTGTCTTGGATGGATTATCAAATCTGCATTTCTAAAAGGTGGCCTCCTCATTCATGAAATGAATACTATAATATTCTATAGATATTTGAGAGAACTTTCTCAAAAAATTGAAACATATCATAGCGCTTGTAATGCTAAGGCAAAATTAGTGAGGAAGTATGGTACCACTTTTCTCTGGGTTCTGTGTTTCTCTGTATAAAACTCTTAGGCTTTAGACCTATGTAAAACAAGGCCAGACAGGCTTCAACCCCAACAACAGGAGGAAGACAAATGGAAGATATGAGTGTGTAAAGTTGATATCAGAGAAAGATTTTGATTAAAATGAATATAAATAAAAAGCTGGGGTGGGTGTGGCCTGCATGTGATGTATCCGGCCCGTGGACTGACAGGTTGACAGGCCTGGTATATTATAGATAGGTGTAAATGATGGAACATTAGCATTGCCTTGATCCTAGATTGGTGCTGTGTAACAGTGGGAATTGTGTTGTTTTCCCACTGTCATTCCTGAGGATAAGGACACAGGGTTTCTGATAGTTTAAAGAATGTAGAATTCCATCTTATGCTCTGTGTCATTTCTGTTCAACTTGTTACTTAAGTATAAACTGTAATTTTCCATTCCCGAGGCTTATTTAATTCATTACTTTTGCTTTAATCTCATCTCTAGATGTTTTGTGCCCACAATTTAATGCAGCAAAATAGCCTGTGTAGGCTGTTCTCAGCAAACTAGGATCTCCAGAAGCATATGTGGGAAGAGATATTACGGAAAAGGTCTGCCATCTGACCCACATGTATTTCCTCAAGAGGCGTTACACTCAGGAGAAGTTCCCTCTTCACAAGCAGAACTTATTACACATAGAATACCAAACTGATGATGGCAATAACCTCCAGCTGTTCATAGCTGGTGGTATGAGATCCACAATGGCACCAGCTGCATATCTCATTAAAATAGATGACCCAGAAAAGAGCTTTCAGCCTAGACTGATGCAATGCTCTCCCTTAGCCAATGTTGGAAGGTACATTTGATTAGGTACCACATGGCTTTTATGACTATGGGCCTATAACCAGTGGTGAAATCCAATTTTTTTTACTACCGGTTCTCTGGGTATGGCTTGGTGTGTGTGGTGTGGCTTGGTGGGCATGGCTTGGTGGGTGTAGCAGGGGAAGCATACTGCAAAATCCTCATTCCCTCCCCACTCCTGGGAGAAGGATATTACAGAAACTCCATTCCCACCCCACTCTGGGGCCAGCCAGAGGTGGTATTTGCCAGTTCTCTGAACTACTCAAAATTTCCACTACCAGTTCTCCAGAACCTGTCAGAACCTGCTGGATTTCACCCCTGCCTATAACTCAGAGTAAATAAACTCTTGTTTTTTAAAAAATAAATTTTTATTTTATTCAGAAGGTTATGGTAAAATACAAACTCCAAGAAAAAAGGAAAAGAAATTTTACAAAGACAATACAAAAATAGACAAAATATTTTAAAAAGGAAAAACATATGCATTAAAAAACAAAAGACAAAAACAAATATAAATGTTCTGTTCCCCAGGCCTCTGGCTCCACTGGGAATAGGCAGATAAACTCTAGCAAACAGGTTTTCATGCAGATTATATTTATTTGGGAATCCTTCAGAAACCATAGACTTACTATCAAGGGGAGTCAAGGTGAGGTTCATCCAAGTATTTCATAATCTATCCCATTTCCTAGTGTAAAATGATGGTAGTTCTGTCCTCCTGTTCTGAAAGCATGCTTCTCTCTTCTGAGGTAATTCAAAATGGCCGGGTCTTTGTTCTAAACCCAGGCAGAAAGTTATATTGCCCTTCCTATCTGAATATTGATTAATATATTACAACGGTATTAGCTCCCCCCACCCTTTGGGAAGCAGGCCCAAAATTTATTAACTTCTACATCTATTTGCAACCAATTCAACCTGTCGTTTATCTACAATGTATAAAACCAAGGTAGTTAACAGCAAAATTAAACTTCAAAGCCATCCGTTAACAATCCATTATTGTATTTAACTGGTAGAAAGTCTACAACAACTTGTCTATGGAGATTCTCAGTCATCCATGGTTGTCCCAAAGGTGCTTTTTTTAAGAGGCAACTGGACTTTCTGAGCTGAAGAAGCTTCTTGGATGAGAGTAGCAAAATGTCTTCAAAGAAAAACTAGAAAATCCAATTGCTACTTGAAAAAAACACCTTTGGGTCGATAACAACTTCTTACCTACTATATATCACCACTATCATTATCTCTGATCCATCTAGGATTAAATATCTTCATTTGATTCTTAATAATAAAATTTTGTCTTATGATTTTGGTTAGGAACTTTCCCAATATGTGTATCATATTCCCCAGAGTCATAAACCTCTTTTGTTGATCTATCTTCCCAAGAAAGTCCAGTCCAAAATGTTTTCCAGTTAGATATAGTAGGTCCATTCCCAATCACCTTCAATCTTCTTTTTAGAAGTTCAGTTCATCCCTCATCAATTCTATTCACTCCAAATCTGTAGAAACCATGTTTCTTTCAGCCTTCTCCAATGAACCGGTAGTTTCCAAATGAAGGTCCTTCTCCTTTAAATCTGTTAGCAGCAATTTAGATTCCAATCCATCTAACTGAGAGTCTGGTTTGGCTGCAGGTGTTTGAATCTGGATATCCTCTTTGCGGATATTGAACTTTAATCTACAAATTCAAAGTTTTCAATTTGAACTCGTAGATTAAAAAACATTTAATCTACCTTCCAAACTTGGTTTAACTTCAAGACCCAGAAGCACTCAAGCAGTACCTGCTTAGGTAATGATATTAGGCTTAGCCAAGAATATTTAGCATGAAGCAGAATATTTAAGATAGTCTAGAATACAACCGCCACATAATCTCACTTACACATGGAACTGAAAATGAATCTATCAATTTTTATTTATTTTATTTATTTTGTCAAGCATATATAAGATAACAGATAAAGTATAAACATTATTGTGAATATATGAGATGGTTATGAATAAAAGGGAACATTAGGAGCCACATGGAATGGTTTAAGAAAATATCGTTACATCACCTTTTTTTTTGATAAAATGTGTATAACTCAGTTTGATAATACCATGTGAATCAAGTTTCAAAACTATGTCAATTCAGTTGCACTGTGCTTAATTTTGTGTCAGCCCCACTGGGTAGACCAAACCAGGAAATCAACTCTATAGGAAGGCTGAAACTAAGTTTATTGAGAATGGCCATAACTGAATCTTGAAAGTCTGATTATGCTGGACGTCCTTGATTTTTTTATAGTTGGGTTAAATAGTGAGATGTCTTTTATCAGGACATTCTGGTCTTTAAAAATGCTTTAGCCCCTTTTTCCTAGACAACAGCTTCTATATATCCATCAATGTCATCTTTCTAGATTTGGAAGACACATGTATTGGATTACATTATGTCACAGCTGCAATGATTATTGATTCTAAGAGATCAACTTACTATATTCATAAATGATTCAGGATTTATTTATTTATTTTATTTATTTTATTTCGAATTTATATACCGCACCTTCTCCCGAGGGACTCAGGGAGAGTACAGCCAGCTAAAAACATACAATACAAACATTAAAAACAATTAAAAGAATATATATTAATTTGGCCCCAATTTAAAATGACAAACCAGTTAAAAATGTTTAAAAAATATGTTATGTCAAGCCAGCCCGGCTTGCTGGAAAAAGAAAGTTTTAAGGGCATGGCGGAAGGCACCGAGGTCTTGAATTCTCCTTATCTCTGGGGGAAGCTGATTCCAGAGGGTAGGTGCCCCCACAGAGAAGGCCCTCCCCCTGAGGGTCACCAGCCTACATTGTTTGGCTGATGGCACCCCGAGGAGGCCCTCTCTGTGGGAGCGCACAGGTCGGTGGGAGGTCATCGGTAGCAGCAGGCAGTCTCGAAGATAACTGTGGTCCTATGCCATGGAGTGCTTTAAAGGTGGTGACCAACACCTTGAAGCGCACCCAGAAGACCACTGGGAGCCAGTGCAGCTCACGCAGGAGCGGTGTTATGTGGGAGCGCCCGGCAGCTCCCGTAATTACCCGCGCGGCTGCATTCTGGACCAGTTGGAGCCTCCAAGTGCTCCTCAAGGGGAGCCCCATGTAGAGAGCGTTGCAGTAGTCCAGGCGCGAGGTGACGAGGGCATGAGTGACTGTGCACAGGGAATCCCGATCAAGAAAGGGCCACAACTGGCGGATCAGGCGAACCTGACAAAAGGTCCCCCTGGCTACCGCCGTCAGATGTTCCTCTAAAGACAGCTGCGTATCCAGGAGGACACCCAGGATTCATCAATGTTTAACTGTTCAGCTCTTCTGAACTCACAATTTCTTGTGTAGCTGTCAACATCCACATGGTGGAAGAGGTATAAAACAATGGAATAATTAGCTCTGGAAAAAACATAGATTATGGTGCCTGACCTAATACCAGGCATACTCAATCAAAAGGACTAATATTCCAGAAAACTCCATTATTATATATCTTCTTAACTTCATTTTTTTCATCGCATGCAGATTTTCGTACAGCTGATCATTCTACTAAAGATATAAAATGTTTGTTTTAATTATCCCAGCATTAGTTATTTCTGCTCCCTCAGTGATGGGATTCAGGTTGAGATTTATGTCAGCTTTTAATTCCCAATAATACATACACTAATAATCTTCCTAACTTCATTTTTTTCCACTTTTCTTCCGGTAGAAACTCAAGGTCAAACAATATTATACAATTATTTTTTTAAAAAAAGTAAAATTGAATCAATCCAATAATTATAAAAGAATAAAGCTACTGCCTCTAGTGAAGGAACAAAACAAAGCTTCAGGTAATTTAAGACTGGAGATGCCTGTTCTTTAAACATCAGTATACTTCTGCTTTCAATATGGCAAATGTACTGATGTGAATAGAGCATCAGGGAAAAGGCTTGGAATTACGTAATTAAATCTTCTCTTCCTTAGTTATGCCAGAGAATTGTGGATTCTTTTGAAAGTACTTCACATTGTATAAGTGATTACTTTGCAATGCTTATTTTGATGATACATGGTGGGATCCTTGGTGCTCTCTCTCTACATCAGGGGTATCAAACCCGTTTTCACTGAGGGCCACATCAGGGTTGTGCTTGACCTTGGGGGACCAGGGTGGGCATGGCGAGGGTGGGTGTGGCCAGCTTGTCATCACTTGTGTCAAGGGTGCCTGTGGTGGCCTGAGCATTCTGCCAGCAAAAATGGGCTCCAAGCTCCATTTTCAGTTGTGAAGGCATCCTGCAAACCTCTGCCAATGAAAATGGAGTTCAGGAGGGTCACCCGTGGCTCACCCAAGCTCCGTTTTCACAGGCAGAGGCACTGCAGACTGCTCCTTCACTGTTTCTAGGGTGGCCACATGGGCCAGTTTTAAGCACCCGTGGTCCGGATCTGGCCCGTGGGCCTTGAGTTTAACACCCCTGCTATACATCCTCTTGACGAATATCTTCTGACTTAATCCAACAGCGAGACCTCCCTATCAAATGAATCCCTTTTATTATAGTAGTAACCAAATTTGAACATTAATCAGTTGAATAATGACAGTCAAGGTAATCCGATTCAATATAAAATATCAGCTCCCATTGTATCAGCTTTTAATTTTAGTCTAGTTTTCTGGGGAGCTTTTCATATGGATGCTTTCTTTATCCTTTGACAGTCTCCCAGTTTCCCATGGAAAGTTAGGAGATGCCTAACTCCTGTAAAGAAAATCTGCAGCATTATGGAGAGGCAAAAAATGAGGAATACAAAGAGAAGTTCCACTGGATAAGTAAATATGCCTTTACATCATTTGGGAGAGAGACCTTGGCACGTATGGTATGGAATTACTATTGAAATCATCCTATATTATGGGAATCTTTCTATTAACTACTGACTAAGCCGATGAATGTAGCACATATTATGCCAGTGTTCAGATCGGATTTATTTATTTAAGAAAACTTGCAAACCCGCCTACAAGTTAAAAGCCTAGGAAGTTACATTGTTTATAACTTTAGGATCTACATTAAGTTAGCAGTAGGATCTAGACTTAATTCTTCAGTAGGAAAGAAACACACCATGGTTCATAAATAAAACAGAAGGATAAGCAAATTTGAACACAAATCAAATGAACAATAAAGACAGTCAACGTAAACTCAGGAAACAAAAAACACTTGAGTGTCTGGCACTTCCACAGGTACAATGAGAACCGTGGAATTCCAGATGGCTTCATCGATATTTCTCCATCAGGCCAAGGATTACCTTGTATGCACGTTGGGGAGCATCAATGCCCCAAATAAAATCCCAGTGAGACCAATCAGGAATCTCCTTATAATAGACAACATTAGTTGTTCGAAAGCGTAATTGTGCAATTTCCATTGGCCGGCAAACCCAATCTTGTCCTCCAGTCCACATAGCAACTGGCACAGTGATGGCCTCTATCCTGTAGAATGGTGGAGTTGTCTGAGAAAAAGAAAACAGCGGAAGAAATTAGAAATTCTCCTAGAACAAAATTCAATACAAGGTCGGGAATTGAACTAAAGGACTTCTTCTGTACAAGAAGTATCCCAAGGAGCCCAAAGAAATTCTGAATCAGGGTAGTGAAGTGTCATAGATTCTTTCAGTGCATTCCTTGTTTTGCAATAGATTGTGCCAAAATGCAAAAACTCAGGCAGGTGCTCCTCAAGATATCAGGCATTCAGAGACATCCATTCCTTTTAGTAAGATGTCTTATAGAAAATGACTATGGACAAGCGTAATTAAAAGAAAAAGAAAAAAGAAAAAAAGAGCACAGGTACTGTATATTTTCTGCATACCCATTTCTATTTAGTCCTCTTTGTTATATCGTCTCTGACTCAACCACTTTTTAAATTTTGTATTCTGTACTGTACTTACTGCAGGCTATATCCATATTGTACTTATATTTTAATAATGCTCAAAGCCCTGCAGAGAATATAGGAACGCTTCTTAATTTCCCTACACCTATCTCCACCCTTGTGGGCACCCCACCTGTAGTGATCTCAGAAAAAAATGTGTGAGTTCTATGTCCTAGACAAAAGATCGGAAAAGCAACAGGCCCAGACAGAGTGACTCCTTCTTGCTTGAAAGCCTGTGCTGAACAATTAGCCCCCATCTTCAAACAGCTGTTTAATAAATCACTGGAGATGGGTTTTGTCCCTTCTATCATCATCCCAGTTCCTAACAAACCCTGCGTCAGGGAGCTGAATGACTATAGGCCATCTGACATCTATAGTCATGAAGTCCTTTGAGAGGTTAGTGGTGGCCCACTTTGAAAGTCATCATGGATCTGCTGTTAGACACACACACACCCTTGCAGTTTGCCTACTGAGCAAATTGATCAACAGATGAGGCTGTCAATATGATCTTGAATCCCTGGGGACCTGTGCATGGGTCCTTTTTGAGGACTTCAGTTCAATGCTAAATGCCATCATTCCAGAAATTCTCCACTCTAAAGCAGAAGAAGCAGGTGTAATGTCCTCCCCATATCCTTCCACTTCTATCCCAACTACTTTCCTGAAAACACGTGTCTATTGCTTTCCAATAAACAGAAAATTTTTACTTATGGGGATTTTCCAAAACAATAGGAAGTTTTCAAATCAAAAATACTTTCAATTAGTTAGATTTTATTTTTAGTTACCCAGGATAAAAGTATTTCACAGAATAATCTGGTAGCTTGGCAGAAAGCAATCATTATATTATGAGATTTAGGAATCAAATGTTCATTATTTGTCTTCTTTCCCATGAAAAAATGCAACAAACCCTACATTAAAGAAGTGTCAAAATCCAGCACCACCAACCTGGTTATAGATATCTATGTTCTTCGAGCCATAGTCAAAATATCTGAAAAGCCCACTTTTAATAAACTGGAATAAGAAAGAAAACACAACAGAGACATAAGGAACTATATTTTTCTATTATAAAAATAATAATGAAGTGTAAAGACAAAAATAACACAGAACATCCTCCAATCATGTTTCATTTAAGGGGAGTTAACTCCAATGAGAAGACATCGAGACAACTCACAGTTTTTATCATTTCCATGAAGTTGTTTATTGTCATACAGCCACCAAAAAAAAAAAAAACAGTCAGAACTAAATGTTAAGGTCTTGGACCTAACTACAGGTAGTCCTTGACTTACAACAGTTTGCTTAGTGACTGTTTGAAGTTACAACGGCACTGAAAAAAGTGACCTGTGACAGTTTTTCACACTTATGACCATTGCAGCTTCCCCATGGTCACATGATCTTTATTCGGATGCTTGAAAATTGACTCATATTTATGATGGTTGTTGTGTCCTGTGGTCATGGGATCCCCTTTTGTAACCTTCTGACAAAGCAAAGTCAATGGGGAAGCCAGATTTCACTTAACAGCCATGTTACTAACTGAACAACTGCAGTGATTCGCTTAACAAATATAGCAAGAAAAGTCGTAAAATGGGACAAACCTCACTTAACAAATTTCTCACTTAGCAACATAAATGTTGGGCTCAACTGTGGTCGTAAATTGAGGACTACCGGTAGAACACTATGTGTCTTACCAAAGCCACTGTCAGCCATTTTGTTTATGTTAAAAATGGTGGATATTTTTTTTCATAAATCTTATATCTTACAACTCAACTCATAGGTTCTACTTTCCCAACTACAAAATGGCCAATGAAAAGTTCAGGTTTTCACTCCAAAGCATTCTGGAATGGTTGACCCATTACTTTATACACAGTTATTTACACCTAATATTTAGCCTTGATGTTTGCTATGTTTTGGACATGCAGAGTATTATCTGCCTTAAAAGATGTTTCTAAAATTTTATTTAATAAAAAAACAAACATTTCCAAGTACCCTGTTTCCTCTAAAAGAAGACATCCCCAGATAATAGCCCAATCGGACTTTTGAGAGCATGCAATAAAATAAGCCCCACCCCCCCTTGAAATAAGCCCTCCCCAAAAATATTTAAACGCATGCACAGCCAGTCCCTGCCATTTCCTCTGGTTTCCTCCACGTGCCCCAAAATAATAAGACCTCTCCGAAAATAAGGCAAAGCGCTTATTTCGAAGTTCAGGAAAATATAAGACAGGGTCTTATTTTTGGCGAAACATGGTAGTTATCATGAACAAATCATGTACAGGCTTTGGCATGTAAGCCATATGCATCCATGGACATCTCCAGATAGATGGGTGAGTCAAAAAGGTTAAACTCCTTCCCCTTTCCCCCCTTTTTTACATACATTAAGGCTTTGATCATGCATTCACCCTCTCCCATCTATCTTTGATACTCAAGATAACTTAAAAATCAATGTGGCATCTAGGTATCTAAAGAAAACCCATTCACCTTTGGATTAGACAAAATGTGTTTATTGTTTAGCGTATGGCATATCATACATGGACTAGCAATATATATTAACATTTCGCTTAGATTAGTAAAACACAATACAATATAAATGTCAAAAAGGTCTATTTTCAAGTATTTCTTTTCTTAATTAACAGCCTTTTAGAAGGACTGAGATGTGCAATATTTTTGAAAGACGTTTTCCATCATTAAGCAAATGCTGTCTTCAATTAAGAATTTGCTGAACTGATTTAACCAGCAATTAAAGGTATTTACTTACCTTGGTTTTGTCTTATTCTTATTGGAGTTCTCAACAGACTACTTTATGGTTATTTTTACCTGACCATGGGGATTTTTTTTATTAAAAGATGACGTTTGTTGAATTCAATCATCAAAATGAGCCTTACCTGGCTCAAGTGGATTATGTGTTTTACCGAAGTATAATCTGGGAAATGTGAAATATACACATCAGAACGGCTCTAGAAACAGTAAAGAAAAGACTGCTTAGAAGAATTTTATACTGCAAAAGGCTTCTATGAACTGTACTGCGTAAAAGATGAGAAGCATCTAAGCCAGTGATGGCTAACCTTTTTGCCGTCACGTGCCAAAAGTGGGGGGAGCGTGGGGGGGTCATGCACACACGTGCCCACACGCATAATTCAATGCCCCCCATGCCCTCCCGCCCATGCACGTGTGCCCCCCCTACACACTCCCCCCACTTTTGGCACGTGATGGCAAAAATGAACCTGGTAGGCCCATTTTTCGCCCTCCCCAGGCTCCAGAAGCTTTCTTGGAGCCTGGGGAGGGAGAAAATGGCCTCCCCACCCCCGGAGGCCCTCCAGAGGCCAGAAATGCCCTCCCAGAGCCTCCACGCGAGCCCTGTACTTAGCTGGCATCCAATATGGGCCGCATGGAGACTCCTGGGAGGGGAGGGGCAGTGTTGGAAGCATGCATGCACACTGGAGCTGAGCTAGGGCAATGTTCACATGCCCACAGATATGCGTGCCATAGGTTCGCCATCACGGATCTAAGCTAATCTTGAGCTAATCACTGAGTAATTTCATACAACAGGAAGGGAGGGAGGGAGGAATCGATATCCAGATGAAATATGAAGATTATGTTGTTATTTACCTTTCACTGTTTAAATGCAATGTGTTTTAAAGTATGACACACCAAAGAACGATCAGCACCATTGGCATTATTTTTTAATTTTGTTTTCATCCAGAGACTCAGATCATAGAAATACTTGCAAATGTATATCTATATTGTTGAGAATCTGAATCAAAAGCTCCACACATTCACATACCCTTGCATACTTTCCCAATGCAAATTGAGCTTCCAGGCTAGGATTAAATTAATAGAATCATAGAATTATGAAACTGAAAGACATCAAAAGGATGCCCTTTATTAAAGACTGAAGACACATCCTGTGTGGTGCTGGACAACACAGTTGTCAAACCTCCTGCAACATTTTTGCCAGCGTCCCTCATTTAAGTCTTGTGGGAACTTTTTTTAGGAAATGTATTTTGTCTTGCAAACTCTTTATCTTGGACTATTTCACTCTTTAACTATATAAGTGTGGGGACATCCTTTAAAAAGCTTCATTTTCTTTAACATTTTGAAAAACTTCATTTAAATACCTTATTTAAATTCTTCAGATTAAATCCAGCCATTAGAGAAAGTGCTTGTCTGCAGAGTTCATCAGCCGGTTGCCGTCTGCATTGTTGGGCCAGAGCTGTTCTCTGGCGTGGATTCAGCAGAACAAATTCCTTCTTCCCAAATATGAGCTGCAAAACCAAGGAATCCTTTTTCCTGTGAATCTTTCCAATGGATTTCTTAAACAAACTGGCAAATTAAGAATCTTAATATTCTAAAATCCTTAAATTAAGAAAACAGCTGCAGGCTATGTAAATAAGTTTTGGAGATTCTTCCCATTTCAATTATTTTTCCAATTTTCAGATTTATAAAAGAATTTGGCCTTATTCTTTAGTTTACTTTTGTTAAAAAAATATGAATTTGCTATAAAGTGCTATATATTAGAAATTATGGAAGAATAAACTCTCCACCTGGGTGAAGGAAAAAGGAATGATTTAAAAAAGGTATGTCCAACCTTTTCAATTGCCTGGGCCACATTGAGTCAAAAGGGCCACATATATAATGTATAATATAGTTAATATATATAAATAGCACTTAAACTTATACACCACTTCACAGTCCTCTCTAAGTGGTTTACAGAGTCAGCATATTGCCCCTAACAATTCTCATTTTACCAACCTTGGAAGCATGGAAGGCCAAATCAACCTTCAGCCAGTAAGAATCGAACTGCAGGCAGTCAGCAGAATTAGCCTGCAATACTGCATTATAACCTCTGCCCCACCATGGCTCTTTTGCACATAATAATGTTTAAAGTTTACAATTTTATGAGACTGCTTTATTAGCTGTCCAGGATCGTATGCGGCATGTGGGCCACGGCTTGAAACAGCTGCTTTAAAGAACTAAGAAACAGTTATGGTAAGAAAACTCAGTGCTACAAATATAGGAATGGGAACATAAAAATAGAAGATAGAAATAATAGATTAAATAAGAATAGTAATAGCTGTAAACGTATAGGCAGAAGAACAACACAGGAGTTTAATTTTGCATAAATAAAACAATTTTGTGTGGTCTTTATAATAAATAAACCTAACAGAAATAAAAGTTGCTCATGTTAAAAGCAAAATTCAAGAGGAGTATCATGTGCACAAGGTCAAAAATGGAATCAAGTAGATGAGACAATAAAACTGGACATTGAAGACAAACTTGAAATCCCTGATGCCTTCAAATCAGTGGTGGGTTGCCCCCAGTTCGGACCACTTCACAAGAACTAGTAGTAAAACCGGCGAGAGGCCCGCCCACAGCCCCAGATGTCGTCATCAGCGATCTGCTCATGCATTGCGAACCGGTGGTAAAAGTAAGTAGAACCCACCCCTGCTTCAAATGATGCCGTACCTTAGAATAAACTCAGGGTATCTTTCTAAACACTGCAGAGAAGAATTTGCACTGCAAGGTTTGCAAATATGGCTGTCAGTGCCAAAATGAAGCAGCTCTGAAAGTTGTTCTTTCTTCTTTCATCCTTCTTATTAGTACAGGTAACTAAACATTGCTATTAGTCTATAATCAGACATGTGAAACTCAAAGCCCACGGGCCAGATATAACCCGCGAGGTTTTTAGATGTGGCCCGCGGGGCTGCCCTGGAGACAGCAAGGTGGCGGCCCCTGCCATCTCAGCCCACCCCAGCCTGGAGCAGCAATTGCATCTTAGACCAAGAAGAAGGAACAGAAAGCCGGTGGCTCGGCTATCTTTTGGCCTGCTGGATTTGGGTTTTTCTTTTGGTTGACTGTCGCTGAAATGCAAGAGGGTTTCTCTATCAGCAGAGTTTGGGAGGCTGAAGGCCTCTATCTTTGTGGCCATGCAGTTCTAAAATCGATGGGCTGCTGCTAGGGAGGAGAATCAAAATAGGGCAGAACAAGCATAGTCCACCATGGTTTATTGATTGCCAAGTTTTCCTCAGGTTTTCCTATCCCTTCCTGGGCTATTAAAATCACATTGCTAAGGTCTGTACCGAACACCTGGCTGCAAACTAGTCAGCAGGGGTGTCAAACTCGATTTCATTGAGGGCCACATCAGGATTGTGTTTGACCTTGGGGGGGAGGGGGGGCATAGCCAGGGTGAGCATGGCCAGCTCGATGTCACTCGTGTTGGAGATACCTGTGGTGGCCTGAGCGCTCTGCCAACAAAAATGGGCTCCCAAATTCTGTTTTCGGGTATGACGGCCTCCTGCAACCCTCTGCCAGTGAAAATGGAGCTGCCTGTGGCCCTCCCGAGTTCTATTTTTGCTGGCAGAGTCACCACAGGTCGGTCCTTCACTGTTTCCAGGGCAATCCAGGGCCAGATCTAAGCACCCCGCAGGCCAGATCCAGCCCACAGGCCTTGAGTTTGACACGCCTGGCCTAGCCCATTGTGCAATCCCAGGCCACATTCTGGAGGTAAGAGGATGTAGTAACAGGAGACAGCTGCAAAATTGCTCTGTATTCTTGCCTCTAGTAGCAATAACTATGTTCTTTGACATATTTGCTAGCAGCCGGCAAACTGTGAACTTCCCTTCCCCCCCCCCAAAGAATTCAGAAGTGCTAGATTGATTTCTCCTGCTAATTACAGTATATTTGTGGGGTATTTAAGGAGCTGTGAGAAAAAGATGTGTCTGAAAATTAAAGGATTTCAGGATTGAGCTGTGAGAAGTGTGCCATTAATATTCTGACCTGACACCTGCATGCTCTCAGGGCCCAAAATTTATCTTCATTCTTCATAGGCAGGTATTGTGGATTAAATAAGTTCTTCTGGATTCTGGTTTTAAGGTGAGTATCTTGAGCTAAGGAGGCCTTTGACCTTCTTCTTAAATACATAATAATAAAATAATGAGAACTAAAGACTTGAAGCGAAGGCAGATTAGAAAGAACGAGACCTTCCATTCCCTTCCTGCTAAGAGTTTCTTAATAAGGTTTGCTCTTCCTTCCTAACATCAATAAAGGTGGTTTTTCCAGATAATGTGTGAAGAGCTGCAATTAGTGATTTAACCATGTTTTCCTTTTGGCTGTCTTTTAATTTATATAATATATGTTTAATTGGGGTGGCTTGGAGAGGCAGAAGTGACCAATATGGAGGCTGTGCCTTGCTCTCCAGATATTTCTCCCCTGCAGATCTCTGGATAGGAGGAGGGGCTGGCAGAGCTGTTTGAGGGAAGGCTGCCCCAACAAACCAGCATCCTTACCACACACAACTGGAAACAGGGCTTCCCTTTCCAGAAGGGCCAGCCTCTCTCGTGCAGGATCGGGGAGTGCTTTTCCCCTGCCTCCTCCTCTTGCTCTCTAGAGGTCTGTCAATGCAGAAGTTGGACTCAGAGGAAACTGCTTCCTGCACACTTTCTCCTCCGCACTTCCATACACAGAAGCATCCTTCTCTGCCCCCTGCTTTGCTGGGGGTGGGGGGGGGCACACCGGACAGGAAAACACCAACGATGTCTATGATTGGGAGAAGAACATCTCTTTTGGCATGCTGTGCACACACCTTCATACAAACACATACACACACACCATTCCAAGCTTGGAAACATTTATCCACATCTGAGCTTGCAAACTGCCAATCATGCCTAGGCTTGGGGAGAGGGCCCTCGCCTTCCTCTGTGGATAAAAGTCCCCAAACTTGGAATGCGGGGTGTGTGTTTGTGTGTGTGTGTGTGTGTGTGTGTGTGTGTGTGTGTGTGTGTATGCACACATGCTTGGCTGCCAGCAGTTTGGGGAGGCGAAGAGCTTGTGGGGCACCAAATTGTCCCCACGTCGAGTTAGCTGGTGCGACTTGTTCCATCCCGACCCAGCCGTCCTGAGTCAGCTGTGCCTAGTGAGGGGAGCCCAATGAGCATCAAGCCAGCCACACCCACCCAGCCATGCCCACCTGGCCGCTGTGAGTCATCATAGTCTTACATGCAACTGACCCTTTGAGGGCAACCATAATGCTGATGTGGCCCTCAATGAAATTAAGTTTGACACTCCTAGTCTATATTATACAGTCTGATACGCCCACTCCAGACTAAGCCATGTAACGCAGTGCAGTTTTTGTTGAAGTTCTGCAATTCTCTTAAATTTTTCACCTCCTTACAAAGTCTGGAATTTATATCCCAAAAGATTCTAGCATAAGAGTCTCTAGTAGTTTCTGTTATTCCATAAAGTCAATTTTGACTTGGAGAACTCCCAACAGTTTTCCTGGCAAGATTTTGCAAGTGATTTGCCATTGCATCCTTTCCAGGACTGAGAAAGAGGGACTGGCCCAAGGTTATCACCTATCTTTGAACCTGAGGTAGGACCACTACAACACACGTCTCTCAGTTTCTAGCTTGGTGCCTTAACCACTATACCAGACTGGCTCTCAGTCTCAAGGCAAAATAAGATGAAATGGATGGAAACTTAATCAAGCAGAAATTTCCTTACAGTTAAAACAATCAAGCAGTGGAATGACTTGCATCCAGAAATTGTGAGTGTTCCAACACTAGAGGTTTTTAAAAAGAGATTGGACAACAATTTGTCTGAAATGGTACAAGGTTTCCTGCTTAAGCAGAGGGTTGGACTAGAAAACTTCTAAGGTCCCTTCCCATTTTTATTATTCTGTTATTCTAGTTCCAGTTCCAAACATTAAAATGCACATTTTGGGACAAGGCTGTAAACAAATGTGTACTTGCTATTCTAAATCAAACCATGCCAGTCATTATATAATTCAATCAAATAAATTCTTCCTTTTTTATTTGTTTGAATTATATCCCACCTCTCCTGTGTCCATGTTTCCCAACAAACCAAAATCAACCAGTAAGTCTACATGGCTGAGGGTAGACATAGTGCAGGGATTCACTTAACAATTGGGGCAAGAAAGGTCGTACAATGGGACAAAACTCATTTAACCATTGTCCTTCTTAGCAACCAAAAATTTGGGATCAATTGTGATCATAAATTGAGGATTAACTGTATTGTATTAAAATTTAAGACAGAATTAAAATACATTTGTAAAATAACCTAACTAGCATCTAATAACTGAGATCCAGAATACAACATGTATGAAATTATAATGTAAACACTAAAATTATATTAAATCTAAATTATATCTTAAAGTACAGCAATAGAAATGTACCGTATTTTTCAGAGTATAAGACGCACCTTTTTCCCCCCTAAAAGGGGGTGAAAATTTGGGCGCGTCTTATACACCAAATGTAGCCCCACCCACCCATTGGTCCCCACCCTTTGGCCTCTGCCTCCCAGCAATTTACCTCCTTGCAGCAAGCAGCAGGAAGAAACAGCCCATTTCAGCTTCAGCACAGCCTAATTAGCACAAGTTGATTGTCCGTTGGATTGGCCTCCCAACTCTCAACTGTTTCTGGCTGCAGGGATTGCCATTGCCTATTGCTGTGCGGGCCTCTGCTGCTTGCTGCAAAGAGGTAAATTTCTGGGAGCAGATTTTTTTTTCTTGTGCTAATTAAGCTATTCTGAAAACAAAAATGAAAGTAAAACAGGCTATTTGCTGTTTGCTGCAACCTGGCAAAATTGCTGGGAGGCAGAGCAGATTTCTTTTTCTTGTTTTCCTCACCAAAAAAGGTAGGTGCTTCTTATAGTCCGGAGCATCTTATACTAGCATATATTTAGATATATACGGTATCTAAAACTATTAATATTAGCAAAGTGGTAAGCACTCCTTTTCTGCTCTTGAAAGTCTTTCCGACCCTTAAGTCCCTAGTGAATACTTCCAAGGCTTTGCTGATAGGTTCAGCTTTAATGCACATACCTTGATTAATACTTCTGGCAAACGTAGTATTTGTACTAGGGGACTTATGGCTTTCTGAAATGTGTATGCAGGACCCAAGGCAAAAAACAGTTTTATTTTCTCAGCCAGGTGTGGGCGGACAGAAAATGCAACATAAGCTGTGAAAACACAAAATATTTTAGTTTAGCACCTTTTTAAATGCAGAGGAAAGTAATTCTGTATTTACAAGCAAAAATGGAATATATGAAGACTTCATAGGACTATCTCATGTAATATGTAAAAGCCAACAATTTAGTTTTTTATAGAGTCCTTTATGGTTGAAACCATCAGCTACCTAGGTTGATGTCAATAAAGTTTATAATCCCTTGGTTTAGGTTATCAACTGAACATTGCTTATAAGTTTATTCCATATTTTTAATTGTTTTTACAGGGAGCACATGGTGGTTTTAGCTTCACAATAATACTCTGAGCTAGTCTGAAAGACAATGGCCAAGAGCGGCGGCTCCCTAGGTGGCTCAGTGGCTAAGACGCTGAGCTTGTTGATTAGAAAGGTCAGCGGTCTGAATCCCTAGTATAGGTCTCCTGCGTGAGCAGGGGGTTGGACTAGATTACCTCCAAGGTCCCTTCCAACTCTGTTACTATTACTTCGAGATTATTCACTGAACTTTATATTTTCCTAAATGAAGGAGAAAGTATGGCATTGGTTTTGGCAAGCAAAACATCTCCCTGGATTTCTTTCCTATGGAATTGGGAAACCATAAATTGTGCAGGTTCCTCCGTGAAAATACTTAGAAAGCCAAGGAATATTGGTAAACCCGGGAAAAGATATTAGGAGATGAACATAGACTCTGGAAAGCAAGGCCAATATAAAATAAATCCATAAAATTAACTTTCTTGAAAATAACTAGGTCCATGAAATGCTTTCTTTGTTATTTCACATCATTGTTTTTGTAATTTGTATCACCTCATGGAAAGCTCTCATGTCTGACCTCATATGTACCAATAGAATATATGTTTAACTCATTCATATATAATTCCTTCTCATTCATATATTATTCCTTCTACCCTCGATTCAGGAATTCATCTCAGAAATCAATGAGGGTGGGGAAGGAGACTTCAACTTTTCATTCTGAGTTTGATGTCATCACAAGTGTGACATGATCTAAAAAGGGATTCCAGCTGGCTGGAATGGTGAGAGAGACTGTGGGATTAGCAATCTTGAATTAAAAATGGTACTGGCTGGGCAAAGATATATGCATCATGAGTTATCTGGAGAAAAAAATCATGAAAAAGGAAAGAACTAGGGATTGGCTCTTTTCTCAGAGGAAAAATGGACTTTTAGGTTCTAGGCTCTAGAGTGTAAAACTCTAGACAGCTCAAGATGGAGAAAATGCACATATGTGGTATTGACACTTAAACCATTTGGTCATTGCTAGGATGGCATCTCCATTCTTCAAGCAGCCAAAAGTAATTTCAGCACTGGATCAATCTCTCTGATGCCAATTTGGGGGATAGTATATATCTGGCAACAAGTTTTTCTCTGAAATTGATTAGTGATCACCAAGATCAGGAAAACCTTCCGGTAAAAAGAATGGCAAATCATCAACTTACCTATTGCGGATCCCACAGAATGACCAGCATAAAAAATCTTCTGCTGTCCAGTTTTATGTAGAATAAACTCTGTCATGGCAGTAAGATCATAGATGCCCATTTCATGCAAACTGCAAATGTAAAGATGCCATGTAAAATATAAATTGTGTTGTGTGCTAATCAACCCAAAGTTCTCTCCTGGGGTACAGACTCAAAGTATATTAATTTGTATACTACTTATGCAAAGAACTGGAAAAGTCTTTAATTCTGGGAAAGGTGGAGAGAAACAAAAGAAGAGCAATTATAGCATCAATTGGGGAGTATTGGGAGACTTGAATGACCAGCCTGAACACAGATCATCTTGGGAAAAAACTATTTATCAATGCATCCCATCATGTGCTATGGCTTTCCCCTTTGCAAATCATTAACAAGTATATTTAACCAACAGAATATGCAAATAACAAATCGATCTGGATGAAGAGAAGATAGAAATGCTTTTTAGGTCAACTAATAGCTAACTGCAACCAAACAAGTTTGAATAAAATTGTAAGTTAGCAATCACTGTCGTATGTAATAGACTGCAAGAAAAGATACAGGCTTCCTTGACTCTTGTTCCTCCTGGCCAATTAAACCACAATTAACCCATTGTTAAGGAAAAGGATGAAGAACTTTTGGGCTGAATGGTCATGATTTTCTATACCACACTGTTCAGCCCAAAAGCTTGTCACCGCTTCATTGATGCCAGCCATGGAAACAAACAAGAGTATGTTGAAGATTACAAATATTTGTTTCTTGATGACTAAAGGAACAGTTAAGGTCTCTATATAAAATTTTATTTATTTTATTTTATTATTTGTCAAGCATGTATAAGATAACAGATATAAGTATAAACATGATTATGAATACAGGAAATGGATATGGATAAATGGGGGACAGTAGGACAGGGACGTAGGCCCGCTGGTGCGTTTATGCACGCCCCTATTATTATCCCTTAATATCATTAAATTATCCCTTAGAATCACCAAATCTGCTCAGTTTCAAAGATGCATTTTCTGGAACTATTGATTGAGAAGATGGCATTCATCCAGAATATTACCAATGATCTGGTTCTCTATTTAACAAGCTTTTTAAGCTGGGATATGGTCGTGGTAGAGTTACTATTACCTTCTCTAACACTAGAAAATGGATGAAAGGAGTGAAGGTGTCCTGGACCTCTCAAGAGATTGCAACACAATTGATCATGGAATGTTTGATGGGATTAGTCATTGAATATGACATTTGGTATTGTGTCCTGCTAGCCCAGATCAAGAAAGTAAGATGGGAACCCTCATTTATGGCATCACACAAAATTCTATTTTGCTCCATGTGCCATTAAACACCAATATGAAGTTTTGCAGAAGGTTACTCAATATCTTGCTGTAAATTCTGAGGTCAACTAGAAACTGGTCTGCCTTTTGGAGAACTAATGGAAAGCAGTCACTAGGTCACTGTCTCAATAGATTCATTGTAGGAGACGACTAGTCTGAGCCCAGGGCATTCTTTAATTGACCTTTGAATTGATTAATTGGTTGAATAATCAATTGACCGATAACCAAATTCAGTAAGAGCTACATTTTAAATACTAACCTGAAATTCCAAAATTCTGTTTTGTTAACTGAAAGGTGCTTGTGTCTTCTAGACCAGAAGTTTCCTCTGCTATTTCCAATCCATACATCATATCCAGCATCTGCTAGTATGAAGCCCAGGCTCTGGTGGGGCAAATTTGATATCCACACACTACCCTCCATAATTAGTGCATGCATTAATAATATAGCAGACTTATTGCCTGAAAAAGAAAGAATTTCTTATGTCAGATTCTTAATAATAAGGTTCATAGAATCAGAATAGGGACACGGTGGCTCAGTGGGTAAGACGCTGAGCTTGTCAATCGAAAGGTTGGCAGTTCAGCGGTTCAAATCCCTAGTGCCACGTAATGAGGTGAGCTCCCATTACTTGTCCCAGCTTCTGCCAACCTAGCAGTTTGAAAGCACGTAAACATGCAAGTAGAAAAATAGGGACCTCCTTTGGTGGGAAGGTAACAGTGTTCCGTGCACCTTTGGTGTTTAGTCATCCGGCCACATGACCACAGAGATGTCTTCGGACAGTGCTGGTTCTTCGGCTTTGAAACGGAGATGAGCACCGCCCCCTAGAGTTGGGAACGACTAGCACATATGTGCGAGGGGAACCTTTACCATTACCTTTAGAATCAGAATTGTATAAAACTGTGTTGGATGGGAAATGACATTTCGATACTGTTTTTCTTCAAGGAATACATGAAGAGAGGTTGATGTGAATAAACACCCCTGCTCTGTTTCCCAAGAAGTACCCAGACCCTAAATTTTTATTTCTGCTTTTTTTTTTTTTTTTTACCTCCCAGAATTCTGTTCACATTTAGGTAATAGCCATCTTCTGTAAGGATCTCGTATTCTTCACAACAATATCCCCAATATCTGATTCTTTCACTCTGTAAAGATTGAAAGACAAATCTATAATGTAGAATGGATTGTTGTACAATGAACATACAGTACATGGGACAAGCCAGAAATTATCTAGGAAATGATTACATCAGAAAAATACTTAAATCATGGCTGAATTGATGAGGAAAATAATTTAAAAAAAAAAAAAAAATCAGATATTATTGAGTCAAGATCAACGTCTGGTGATTATATTGAGTTTTCTTGTCAATACTTGGGGCCACAACTGTGATCAAACTATTTTTTCATGTATCTTGCATAGCAGAGCTTTGAACCACTGTTGTGACTGCCATCTTGACTTTTTTTGACCATATCCTACATATAATCCTGGCAGCAATTAAGAAGAAATTTGGCATTGCCTCCTTCTGAGACGCTTTATGATTTCTTAGTCTGCCTAGTAATCTGCCCTCCAAACCTGAATTAACTTCAAGGCCCAGAAGCACTCAAGTGTTGCTAACTCCTCAGACAACAAGACTGCTTAACCAAGTATATTTAACACAAGGCAGAATATTTAAGATGGTCTGGAATGCAAGCTTCATGTCATCTTACTTATGGGTGGAACTGAACCTGAAAATTTCAACCTTTAAAACTGCATCGAATAGGTTAAAAAAGAATCATCACACCTCCTTGTTTCTTGGATAAAATATTTATTTGGCTTGCTAATATGTTGTGAGAAGAACATCTTCAGTTCCTTCCCTAAAGCCAGGACAATATGAGAACGGAATGAGTGACTCGGAAACTAGCTGCAGGAAAGCCAGAGGACCGCAGTGACAACAACATTGGGTTCCGGGCCAGATGGCTGACCAGGAGGTGAGTATGCTGATTTTTATACCTTTCTGAGCTTTTGTGATTGAGATACCTGATGGGGTATTTGATTAATTTAACAGTGTTTCTTTTGGTAATTTCCCCTGGGGAAGGAAAGTGTCAAGCTCAACTTGGGGAAGGGAGTGTGACACAATTTTAGTCCTCTTTTGTGTTCTGCTTTGCTTTGCTGGCTGGAGAATTCTGGGAGTTGAAGTCCACCAGGCTTAAAGTTGCCAAGATTGGAGACCCCTGCTTGGGACCACTGTGCTTCCCTTTGTGTCAGTCCCACTAATTTGATCAGTTGGGGAAATCAACTCCATGGGAAAGCTGGAGTTATGGTTGTTGAGAATCACTCTAATAAAAGAATCTTGTAAATCTGATTGTACTGGACTTCCTTCTCTTTCTTAGAATTGAGGGAATTAGGGAGGTATCTGTTATCTGGATGTTCTGAACTTGCAGTCTCCTCACTAGAGGAAAACACCAAGTTTTCAGAAGGTTAGGAGGGTAGAAGACTGCCAAATTTCAGGGAGAAGAGCATTGCATAGGGCAGAGGTGCCTGCCATAGAAAAGACATACTTCTTAGATCCTATAAGGTGATAGTGTTTAAAAGAAAGGAGTAGAAGCAGGCCCATCCTGTCTAACATGCTTGGATGGGTACTGATTACGATTCTAAGAGCTCAACTTACTATGTTCATAAATGATTCAGGATTCATCAACGTTTTGCCATTCACTTCTTCTGAACTCAAATTTCCTTGTATAGCTATCAGAGCAATCAACATCCACAGGATAAAACATCTATAAAACAATGGAGTAATTACCAATGGAAAAAGACACATGTTTTTCTGAAATATGTATTCATACTAGATATACCTAACAAAAAGCATTATGTAAAAATGCTAAATGAGAAATTTGGTTAACTGCAGATATTTCTGCTGGGGCAATAAATGGAGTGAGGCTGTACTTTCAAACACAGGACAGTCTTTGAAGCAGCCATATAGGAATTCCAAAGGACAATCGCTACTATAATACTTTGAGACCAGTGCTTCACAGCTGCAAAACTCTGAAAAGTGCTCCTTTTAAATTCTTTAAGTCCTGTAATCTTTACAGCCTTGTAAATATATTTATTAAGTAAATTTATGGATAGTCACACAATCGCAAAATATAATGAGAGCCAGTTTGCTCTAGCGCAGGGGTATCAAACTCAAGGTCCACAGGCCAGATCCAGCCCACGGGGTGCTTAGATCCGGCCCGCGTGACTGGCCTGGAAACAGGAAAGGACCGGCCCTCTACCAGAGAAAACAGAGCCCCTGTCATGAATGATGTCAAGCCGGCCACGCCCCCTTGACCACACACATCCTGGCCCTCTGAGGTCAAACACAACCCTGATGTGGCCCTCATGGAATCAAGTTTGACAGTTCAAGTCCTGCCTTAGCCATGAAAGCCAGCTGGGTAATTTGAGGCAAGTTACACTCTCTCTCAATGTAACTGGGTTGCTATTTTGTGGGGGAAATAGGAAGAAGAAGGTGTTTTGGATGTGTGCTCTGCCTTGAATTATTTGTAAAACAGATAGATAATAGATAGATAGATAGATAGATAGATAGATAGATAGATAGATAGATAGATGGATGGATGCAGTGGTGAAATCCAAATTCTTTTACTATCGGTTCTACGGGCGTGGTGTGGCTTGGTGGGCATGGCTTGGTGGGCGTGGCAGGGCAAGGATACTGCAAAATCTCCATTCCCATCCCACTTATTGTGGCTCCGTTACCTGAGCCTGTGTCATCAGCAGGAGAGGACTCCGAGAGTGAAGGGGAGGAGTTGGCAAGGCCTCCCTCTCCAGGACCCTCCTCTCTGGCAATGCCTTCGGTGTCCACTGAAGAACAAGAGATAGGGCAGGGCCAAGCACGTCCACGCAGCCACAGATGGACAGTGATGAGGGTAATGAGTCTTGGCTGGACCCACGCCAGCGTCGCAGAGATAAGCATGCGCAACAGAAGAAAAGGCGTGCCCGAGATTAGGCTGAGTCACTGGACCACACCTCACAGGATATAAAAGGGAGCGTGGTGGCCAGTCAAACCTTATGACGAACAAAGCTGAAAGCTTCCACGCCATTCTGCATTGCCGGACTTTTGCTTTAAGACTTTGCTGAAGTATTCCGTAATTATTGAGCTGCTTTCCTTTGATGTATCAGAAGTGGGGAGAAGTTATCTCTCCTCTTTGTAAATAATAAACTCTTGGCAGGCAGCCACTAGGTTGTTGCCAAGTTCCGTTATCTTAAGGAAAAGGATTTTGCCGGCTGGTTTGGTCTTTAACTCCTGAATGTCTGTTGGTGTGTGTGCGTGGGGTTGGGGACAGAACACCACTCCAGGGGGAAGGATATTATAAAATCTCCATTCCCACCCCACTCTGGGGCCAGCCAGAGGTGATATTTGTCAGTTCTCTGAACTGCTCAGAATTTCTGCTACCGATCCTCCAGAACCTGTAAGCACCTGCTGGATTTCACCCATGGATGGATGGATGGATGGATTGATGGATGGATGGATAGATGAATAAAATGTAAAACAATTATCCATTTTAGTATAGGCATGACTTTAAATATAAACCAGTTAAGATGTTGCAATTGGCCGGAGGATGTGGGGCAGGGACAAAATGAAGAAACCAATGAAGTCACCTGAAAAATAATTGCATAATTAAGTATACATCAGAGAAGCTACATTTGGAAGATGAAGAAAATGAAATCTTAATATAAACATAATAATGACTATAGCATGGTAATAGACTGCAGATATTTTTTTACTACAGAATCTTCTGCAATCATTTTATATATAGAAAATCATATTGATGTACAGCGTAACACCTAAAATGCATTTGGTAAAAATAATCTGAGAAAGAAAACTTCAAATAACACATCACTCTGTAGGAAGTTAGCACCCACCCCTTTCCTGGAAGAGTGAAATATTTTAGGAAATATGAAAAAGGCAGAATATTATATTTCCCTGGATGAGAAATGGATAAGCATATTTTGAAGCAGCTCCCACCTTCCTGCCCCCCACCCTTTGTCAATGGGCCATTAAGGCCTGGGTGAGTCTATTCTACATAAGAAAGATCTGCCTCCTTCAGGCAGAGCCATAGTAGGAATTGCCAAAGATCCAACAAAGATAGGATTAGCCCTCTACACAATAGCAGCAGAAACTCACCACATGTGACCTGGGAAGCACATGTGACCATCAGCCAGCAAGACCCCCACCCCCTGGGACTCTGACAAACAATCAGAATACTCTTTCTGGGCCCCAGGAAGTTTGAAGCCAGAGAGAGCATAAAACCTGAAAAACTCGCTGTATCTGCCCCTTTTTCTGTTCAGGAACTCAAGCCATGTGATCCTGACCACCATTAAACCATCTTTCCAAGCAGTGTTTCAAGTGTCTTTTTCCCCTAGAAGGAGATTTCTTCCAACAACTCCATGGACAAAAGATACTAATTGCATAAACTGGAT